TGGGCAAATGTCCGTGTGACACTAATTGACGGGAGGTACCGGGAGCTATGGTTCCTTGCTTTCACAAATGCATTTCCTTCTTATACAACCCCCAACGAAGTCGCACATCACTGCAAACCCTACTGTAGATTCCAGGTTTCTGACATCCCTACTGCAAACTACTTGGTTTCTCGTCCAGTGCTGGAAACAAGGGAGGCAATCTCAAGGAAAGAAAAGTTGAAGGCCTGGCAAAGTAAAGAATAAATATGGGCAAGTCAAGGCAAGTGAAAGGACATGCTTGCTTTGGTCAGCCACGTTCATATGGCATGCACTCCTTTTTCCTGGCAGACATACTGAGGTAAAGGTATCCCCTGAGTTCAGCGTACGTTTCGGTAAAAAAATAAAGGTGTAATTACACGCGTCCCCTATGGTATCACACTTGATGACGTTCGACGGGCTGAAAGCTTGTATTCTGTTACGATTTGTAACGTTGAAAGTTAAATTTCAAACTTACCTGCACTGGTATACTTCTAATGCAACCAAGTTTTGCTTGCCTTGCCTTCAAGTTTTCTTGTGTGTGCACTGCTGCTCTCGTCCCCGACGGGTTCTCCATGTCCTCTTCTCTCTCTTTGTTCATCAAATTATCACAACTTATCAACCAGTGTCTTCGTAGGTAACCATTTTTTTGGTTGGGTGTTACACCACCAAAATCGTTCTGATCTTATTTTCTCTAGCATCTTCATCAACCTCAAGCGGTCACTCTGAAATCCTCCCGTAGACGCGTACCCTTTATCCACACATCAACTCGACCTAATTACCTCACGACTATCCCTCCTCTAGATTGGAGCATCACACCCTCGCTTGAGGATCTTGGTCAAGCCAGCATATATTCTTCACCGCGGCTGAGTACTAAATACACATCTCTCGGCATGTCTCTCCCTCCCCATTCTGCCCTCCACTGCCACCCCTCTCCAACCTTCTTTCTCACATGATGCAACACTGGCAGTCCAATTATTCTCTCAACTACCGTAAGCCTCAAAATGACCAGCACCGCGACATCAACAACTCCTCGTTCGGAAACTACAATTTAATCTTCCGGGACACCGCCAGCACTCGCACATTTACCATGTTGGGATATCTTCTTTCCATACTAACAGCCCCAATTGTCACAATACTTAGATGCGCTGATTATCTGATAGTGAACCATTGGCTGGCTCTGCTATTCATCAACTGCATAATTGGAGTCAACAGATTCAAGGCGCGGGCAGAGAAGTCCCTGGACATTTTTGGGGGAGACGCTATCTTGAACACCCTTTGGAGGAGAAGAGGACAGATCTGAGAGCCTTCTGCATTGCGGCATTCTTGATCATAGTGGTTGGGCCGGTATTTGAGATTGTCGAAGGGTTTTACAATGGGATCAACCCTTTCATTGTGTTCATGGTCGATGGCCCTGACCTCGTGTCGAATGCCCAAAACATCTACGCATCTGGTCCCCATCTTCGAGAACCTCCACGACGATATAGGTTGGTGAGAAGGACAAATGGCTTCATGGAACCCAAAATGGGGAAGGGGCGCGCTCAGAAATAAAGGCGCTGGTGGCCCTCTCTGTCTTTACTCCATCTTGGTCGTGCGGTCTTCATTATTTACCCAGTCCTTGCTGGAACATAGTATCTGACACAACACCTTACCATGGACTGAGGCAACAATGTTCTCTGGAACTGCTCTATAGTAGAATAATGGTTCACTTCGGGCTAGGAGCCAAACCAAATGGCAAACTGCCCTGGTGTAGTTAAATTATCAAGCTTGCTTGTTTCGTATTTTCTGTGTACTATCTGGTTGAGTATCTTGTGTGAACATCGCGAGCTAACAGCCGGCAAAGCGCAAGCCATGAGAAAGGATTAAACGCGGGAGAAGCGTGAGATTATTACGGGAAATCGAGTACGACATGAAAAGAACAAGGAAAAAACAACTCTTCTTCATGCCTTTGTACCACCTAACAACACTATGACCCTAATGATACTCACAAAATCCCCCTTAGAGATCCCCTTACTTGCTATCGTTGTCAGGATAGTCAAGCATGTCGACATCTGATCTATCCTCTTTGCCCGAGGGATGCTCCCGCTCCGCCGAAGCCATAGCCCTGGTGCGAACAGTACGACTAGAAGACGACGCTACATCTTGGCGAGTTGAAGAGGCCGTCTTGGCCTGGGTCTTCTTAGCGTCGACGAAAAATTGCTGGATGCTGCAAACAACCCCAAGTTTCACGAGGAACTGCTTTGACTGGTAATTTTCACCATCGGTGTTGCCGGCTTTGACGATGGCCGGGGAGACAACAAGGTCAACGACAGAGGGGTGACTTCCGTTCCGGTCTCCAAAACCCACAAACTCGGGCTTTTGCTCCATACCGGCCGAATCGAACGGAAACCCAAAAAGGGGCGGGTGAAACGGCGGGAACCCCTTGGAGATCATGACCGTGTAGTGAGCCCTAGACATCCGAAAGATTTTGTCCATGCTGACAGCCGCGAGCATGATTTCGACTGCATCCATGGCCGTGGCCGAAGTTAGGACACCCGTTGAAGTTTGGTTCAAAATGGGAGCGATATAATCAAGCATGTTGACTGCCATAGATTCGCTCGATGGGGGCTTCATGGCTCCAAGCTTCTTAAGTTGGTGCATTGAGTCAGACCTCCATTGATGAAATGCGGGAAGGAGCGAACCGGAGGTCCGGCTGTTGGAATTGCGGGTGATAAGGTCTAAATGGATATGTAAGCGGATGTCGCAAGGGCTTGTGAGCTGGAAATGAGGTTGTACTTACCTTGGAGACGGACACATGTGGACATGAAGCTCCTCCCCACTTTTCCTGCCCAATAATCCGCATGTGGTACAAACACAGCTTTGTACAGATACCCCCATATGCACATTTCTAGCAAAGACTGTGAGAATAGCGGGGATTGCAATACCAAAGTTGGGTCAAGACAGAAATGCTTGAGTTCGGGAACCCGATCGACCACACGACGTTCCTGCAACATCGGTGGAGAGAAGGAGGGCGGGCAGTGTTCCTTAACGAATTGGCGGACCGAAAATGAGAGATCCCTCCACGACCCCTGAATCTCCGTGTCGGTAGCTTTCACCTGCTTGAAGGAGTTCTTCGATCGGGCTTCGGCGAGCTCTTTTGCGAAATCCGCACATGCTGCATCCAACTGCATTTGAAGGGCGGCGGCTTTACTTGCAAGCTTGCAGTTCTGAGCCTCCAAGCTTGAGATCGCAGCTTGCTTTCGAGAATCTCTTTCTCTCGATTCCGTTGCCATTTTGGCCTTATCAGCTTCCAACGCTGAAATTGTGTCTCGGTATTGTGCTTCCTTTCGAGCCCACTCGTCTGTCGCTCTTGCCTTCTGACTCTTCAAATTAGCAGTACGGTCTTGACAGTGACGCTCTGTATTCTTCAATCTGTCCCACAACTCAGTACTACGGGTTTCCAACCGAGCGATCTCGCTCTGATAGCGAGCTTCCTTGTCTGCTAGCTGCGAAGACATGTCGGACATTTGGCTCTGATGACGAACCTCCAAGAAGTCGACATCTGATGCAGGGCTGTGCTTAATGGTTCCCTTCGGGTAATCTTGGTGAAGGAATGTTGAGATGGCGACGGGCTGATGTCCGACAAAGCCCGTGGTGTGCATGTGCGAAACACTCCCATCAATTGTGTCCTGGGAAAACGGATTGAGCCTCTGTATGGAGCCACAAAGTCTTTCAACAAGACCAATACTGTTCCCATGCCCCGATAGCAGTCGATCAGAAGCTTGACCGTTTGGCGCACATGGCTGGTTTGAAAGTATAGTGAGCCCGTCCTCATGTTCGAAGAACTCCTGATTGGTGTGACTGGCAGGTGAGTGATTCTTTTTGGCATCTCTAGTACTGTCTCTGTTGGAATGTCTGTTGGAGTGCGGGATTATGGCTGAGTCAGAAGTGTTCGTATCTCTGTTATAAGGTGCGTCAAAACCACCCTCGAATGGTTTGGTTCTGTTAGGGTGCAAGGGGGCCATCTTGTCGGTACGCTGCCTGTGACGATTGACGGTCAGAAATCGGCGAAGAGTATTCACATAACTTGCTATGGGTCAAGTGCCTGTACTTACCTCCTAGCGGGCGAGCGTGTGTTTGACCGGATGTGATGTGCTGCCTGACGCTGGCTTTTGGAGTTGTTCGGTAACAGCAACAAGTCGGAGGGACCTGTGTGGCTCTGCGGAGTGATAGATCAGAAGCAGAGGGAAATTCTTGGGCCCGAACAGGGTGAAGACGGTGGAAGTGAATGGAAGTGTGTGTATCTGAGGCGGGAAGTGCCCAGGTAACCACCTTCCATCACTGACGTCAAATCTCTCGGTCACGCTACGCGTAATCATTGGCCTGCCGTGTTTGGTATCTGGATGTGCAAGTAATCTAAGTGGTCATCCGGGCGGCTACCATATTCTTTCCGCTCATGAATGCAGCAAGGCACTTGCCGTTTGTACTTCGCAATTTGGGTTACGCACAAAAAATTATTTCCAAACAACCCGCCGCCGGTTCCCGTACCTCCATCGAGCACGCACACCAGAGCAACTCCTGTAGTACAAGGACCCGACTTCTTCGAGACACCATTCCTTTTCGGCTCTATTTGAGCTCGAACACGCCCCTTCCTTTTCGAATACTTCTCCCGACCCCACCAGCAATCCTTCATCCCCTGTACCATCGTCCTTCTTTCTCGCGCCAACCGCTCCTACGACAAGCATCTTCACTTGGCACCATTCGCTTTTGCGTCTCAGGGTACATACCAGCTACAACAGCGACTGCCACTTGACCCTGACGCTAGATATCATATCTGCAAGTAAGTTTGTTTGTGGGCATCTTTCATGCGCTCTGTTACGTACTGGAGGTTAGACTGACATGCTGAAACTAAGTCCTCAGCTCTTACTATATCGACACTACATCACGGGCGATGATTCTGATCTGATTCCAAAGTCAAGATGGTTTTGACCAAGATTGCAGAGCTTGATCTCAACGAATCCGTCCCAGATCAGGTTGCCAAGTCAAGCATCAGAAGCATTATCATCATTGGAAAAGACTTCGGTACTACCTTCTCCGGCGTGGCTTACACATGGTCGACCAAAGGAGACAAAGTGCAGGTCATTACAAGCTGGGACACCGACAACTACTCTAGCTCCAACGAGGAAAAAACTCCAAGCGCCCTGTCATTTCTGGGCGAAGGCCAGGTAAACTGGGGGTACTCTGTTCCCAAAGATGCTGACCAACTCAAATGGTTCAAGTTGTTGTTGCTCGACGAGGAAGATCTTCCCGAGGATGTTAAGGCCTCCAGTCGCATCTTGGAGGCACGCGCCTACTTGAGGAGCCATAACAGAACACCCATTGAAGCTATAGCAGTCTACCTACGTTGCCTGTGGAATCACTGCATCCAACGCATCACAGAAAGTGTCAGCAAAACCCTTGTAAATTACTCAAAATTCCATGTGGTAATGACGCTTCCCGCAATCTGGCCCGACTACGCTCGTTCTCGCATGAGAGAGGCGGCCAACATCGCTGGTATCCTAGGACCCAGAGCTGCTGGAGAGACTGAACTCACGTTTCTGTCAGAGCCCGAAGCGGCAGCCATCGCAACTTTTGCTGATATGGAAGGAAGACAGGTGAGAAATGCTTGTGCGGAGCTGTCCTAAGTTCATTGCTAACAAGTTGATAGGATATCAAGGTTTGTGTATAGTGGCTGGGTATTCCTGATCCATCACAACTGACGTTCTCTGTTTATAGGCCGGAGATACTTTTGTTGTGGTCGACTGTGGAGGAGGTACGGCCGACGTGATTTCGTATTCAGTCACACAGTCAGATCCAATGGTGGTCAGAGAAAGCGTCAGAGGGGAAGGTATGAACATGGAATTTGGTATTGTCACGTGGAAAATTACTTACCAGAATATAGGTGGACTTTGCGGAGCAGTATTTGTGGACGAGGCATTCGTCAACATGCTCAAGGACAAGATGCAGCCAAAGAAATGGGATATGTTATCAGCTGAGACTCGCCAACGTCTGATCCATGACGAATGGGAGCATGGCATCAAGCAGAGATTCGATACCAAGTCCAACAAGACTTGGTCTTTCAATCTTCCCTGGGAGTGCTTGGCCCCCGAGGAGCGCCTTACGGTCACTTCGCTCCCAAAGGTCACATTCACTTCCAAGGAAATTCAAGGGGCATTCAATCCCGTGATTTACAAAATCAATCGGTTGATACACCGTCAGGCCTTGGCTGTGATGAAGAAGCACAATGTCTACCCAAAGGTACGCCCTGCTGAAGTGTCTTCGAACGTAATCCATATGGTTAGACCAGGTTAAGCTAACGAAATCCTTATTCAGTACGTCATCCTCGTTGGTGGATTTGGCAGATGCAAATATCTGTTTGAGAGGGTCAAGACTATGAAAAATCATCTGCTCAGTGAAGACATAGAGGTGTTGCAAGCAAGGGGTGCCGACCCGTAAGTACAAACGCAGCTTCGGAGAGGCCATCACGTTGCTGACATTTTCTTCTCAGCTGGACGGCAATTTGCCGTGGTGCTGTTTTTCATGCCTCGGCCTCAACTGGGATTGGTGGTAGCTCCATCAAGATTGGTGCCAGGATCTCGCGTGCGAGTTATGGTACCAGTTATTTTACCGACTGGGATCCCCTTAAGCACCAGGAGGGTGATAAATTCTGGTCTGACATTGAGCAGAGGTGGTGCGCCAAACGGCAAATGGACTGGTTCCTTCTAGAGGTTTGTAACCTGACCATACAGGAATCTGCTCACAGGCTTACTAACATCCTTAGGGCGAGGACATTTCGACCAAGAAACCGATCAAGAAGCAGTTCTTCAGAATCTTTTCCCCCGATGAAAAGTGTACGGCACTCAGGGAAACGATCTATTTGACCACCATTTCTCCTCCCCCGGACCGGGTTGAGTCAACTGTCAAATTACTTTGCTCGATCAACTGGGATATGGTCGTCGATATCTTGTCACTGCCAACCCGAACTAACTCACTGGGCAATGTTTACCACGTGATGAGTTTTGAGATCGAGATGACTTGCTCTGGCTCTTCAATTGACTTCGCGGTCATATACAACGGCAAGCGCCAGGGGTCAAAGAACGTGGCGGTTGAGTACAGCACCCGCTAGATACCCAGTCCCTTGTGCAGTTGCTCTCACGATATTGCGTGGTGGCCATGCTAGGAACGGGGATCTGTACTCGATATGCTGATTTTTTTTGTGTAATCACATCTTATCCGCAATAACAATGGAACATACATAAGTATACCATCTGAGGTGGAGCCGAAAGATCGAAAGGGCCCTGTGTACAGTAGAATAATTGGGTATAGAAGATAGTCAATCAAGGTTATTAGCTAGCTCTGCGTAGCTGCACATTGTCTGGAAACCCATGATGACCCTACTTACATAGACATGCAGTTCATGAAGCCATGACCTTCGATATGCGGAGTCAGTCACCTGTCTCAAGCCTCAACAGCCGGCAGAACCCAAGTCACCACCGAGTTTCTGTACACCAGCCCGCTCCAAAGCTCCCCACTCTTCGCCTCAACCGTCACATAAACCCCATTCCCAAACTTATTCTCAATCACCACCGCCCTACTCCCATCATCCGAGTTCGTAGCCGCCACGCTCTCCAGCCCGCTCCCATCACCATACGTCCAACTACCCGTGCCACCCATCACCGCCGCGTCCTTCCTCATAAACTTCGAAAACTGCGTCATCATGTAATAATCTCCCCTCAAATTATACGTCCCGGCCGCTGTATCGACCGTCACCAGCCCCGTGCACTTATCACACGCATTACTGCCCGTCAAGTGCGGCCCATCATTCGTATCCGTCCCCAGCACCCACGCCGTCACTCCGCTCGCCCAGTTCTGCAGCGGTCCCATGGTGAAGCTCGCGACCCAATGCCACGGCGTCGGCTGTCTTGCCGAAGTCCAGCACTCGGTCATGTACTGCTCCACTTTCGGATGAGCGTTATGAAAAGTCGTCAGAACGGACCAATCCAGAGGATTGGCGTAGCAATGCCACGCCACAGCCGGCACGTACCCGCCCGCTCTCAAGAAGACAGTGGCAGGGTACGACGGCTGGTCGGTGTTATGATCATAAGCCCAGATCTTGGTATCTAAACCCGCGTTGCGCAAGGCAGGACCGATGTTATTCTGGATCAGATCGCCGGCCTCGTCGGCGTAGATGTACATGGTCGGCATTTGCGCGCGGGAGTTCAACGGCTCGTTTTGGATGGTGATGGCGTCGATCTTGGCTCCGCGGGCTTGGTACGCTTGCAGGTATTTGACAAAGTACTGCGCGAACTGGGAGGCGTAGGCGTGATCGAGGTTGTTGTTGACTGTGGTCCCCTGGATTACGCGGTTGAGCTTCATCCAGCCTGGTGGACTCCAGGGGGAGCCGATGAGGGTTAGCGATGGCTGGAGACGGCGCATCTCGGCGAGGAGAGAGGCCATGGCGGAGCCGCGGTCGCCGAGGTTGAAGTTTTGGAGAGAAAGGTCGTTGACGCCGTTGGTGGTGGAATCGTCGTACGAGTAGGATGGGTTGGCGGACAGGTCGGAAGAGGCGATGGTGTGGCGCATCATGGTGAAGTTGGCTCCCGCAGAGGTCATGAGGGTGTTGAGAAGCGCGGTGCGCCGAGAGGAGGGAAGGGCATCGAAGACGGACACGGTGGAGTCGGTGACGGCGGCACCGAAGCCTTTGATGGTTTGTTTGCGGCCGGAGGGGGTGTCGTCTATGGTGAGCTTCCATGTTGAGTTGGTGCCTGGGGTGCCGGTGCCCCGGACCGGAGCGCTGTAGGAGGAGAGTTTGTATCTGCCATCTGCTGAGGAGGCGTAGGCTTGAGGTTGGATGGCTGCTGCGACTAGTCCTGGGGTTACTAGGAGGGTGAGGAATGGGAGATACATCTTGGGCGAAGAGTAGAGGGAACGAAGAAGGGGGCTTCTCACTCAATGTTGTCGATTGAGGCCAAGAAGAGCGAAGACCTGCTTTGTATGTTTACTTTCCGTCCCAAAATGATGTAACGTCAGGACATGACTAATAGTCGACCATATACGGTACCCTTAAATGCGCCCATTGGTAAAGTTGATTGGGGGAAGCGGCCGTAGGAAGCTGATTACTACGAACCAAAGCCGAATATTGAATGTTGAACAATACTCGGAGTTGTAGTTGCTGAGTATCCTATCGGAAATGTGACGGTAGTGGCGGGACTGACAGGAGGTCCGAGGAAGGATCAACATCCATTCAACGACACCTTCCATGTTTAAGCATAAATGTCGTTGCCTAGAAAACCTTTGAACATCATTGGCTCATGTCAAGACTCGTGCATATTTGCATCTTCACATCTGAGACCCTCCCGCTCGCACTTCGTCCAGATCAGTACCAAGCGCCGAATGTGACCTTACGGAGATAATGTTCTTAGGTCAGAGCTCGGAAAAAAAAAGTCTGGGAGGAACATTATCCGACAGAGAAATTGTGCTCTCAATTGGAAACGAGAGTTTTGACAATAGAAAATGAATTGGTACGGAGGCTCCCACCGAGAGTTTCGTATTGTAGGAGGATTTGCCAGACACTCTGAATTGCACGGATCAGGAGCAATTTGTTCTTCTGCCGTCGAGGATGTTGTAAGACACTGGATGTCAAACTTTGAATAGCAATTGGTAAATAACATCTCTCTCCCCTGTACGGTGTTCCTGCTAGTAGAAATTGTGAGTGTCAGCCGTCAAGCTGAAGAGTTAGTAAGCATGCACTGGTAATATCATCGGCCTCATGGCCATTCCGCGACACTATGATGATGCCGAGGTATCTTGGGCATAATGAATACCCTCAGGTACCCAGTTGTTTGCCAACGAGACCGCCGGCAATGAGCTGGACCACAAACGGTGATAGTCCGTTGCTCCCTTCATTTATATAGCTTTCACCAGTTTGGTAGCCAGACAAAGGACGAAGAATTGACCAACAGACCAACCACCATGACCAGATTCGGCATATACTGTGTAGCCCAAAACGGCAATCTGCGTAGTACTAGGGAAGCGGATTTCTGTAAGCCGGACACATCGCAAGATGCGGAGAAAAACGTGCAACGATGCGACTACAATCCAATCCAAGCGACCCATACGGAAGAAAACAGAAAACAATGCGTCCGGGAGACTTCTACCGGCGGCACAGCTTCCTGGAAGTTGTTGGGAGCTCAAAGGGGGCCCTGGCCACTTAGGGATGGACAAAGAAAAGACACCGGGAAGAAAGCCAACACCATCGTAGAGCATCCGCAAACGGTCATCAAGGGAGCCATTGTTTGTTGGATGGACGACGTAAATGTTGATAACCCCGTTGAATTGCAACACCGCCGCGATTGGAACCAGTTCTAAGGGAACTATCGCTTGTCAGTTCCAATTCCCAAACCCCAGAGACAAGAGATCCAGCTCAATCGTTTTTTCTACTACCACTCGATTACTACCACTCGATTACTACCACTCCTTGAGAAAGAGGGCATTTTGCGAGGCTTTCAAAAACCTACGTAGCAATCAATCGCGCGTTGAACCTTGTTACGACGACACTTCTTGTTTCAAACCATTGAGACACCTCGTGCAGTCCAGTCCATTGGACCGACCACCTCAGCCAAATTGGCCCCCTCGAAAACAAACCGCCAAAATGCCACGCTCAGCAGGAGCAGCCCGGCAAAAAGCTCTCGCCCAAAAGAAAGGCAAGAAAGAAGAGGAGCAAAAAGCCAAAGAAGAAGCGGAAGCGCAAAGGAAGGCAGATTTACAAGCCAAGAAGAAAGCTGCGAAGAAGACCGAGAAGGATGCGGATGCGGATGATGAGGAAAACGATGGAGACGCAGGGAATGATCCACTTGCGACACCCAAGGGGAAGGGAAAAGGCAAAAAGGCTGCGCCCAAGGGGAAAACGCCCAAGAAAGCCAAGGCTGCTGCTTCCAAGACGGTTGCTACTCCCAAGAAGGCTGCTACTCCCAAAAAGGTTGCTGCTCTCAAGAAGGCACAGAATGCTACGGACAACGAAGAGGACGAAGAACCGCCTGCCACACCCACAGGAAAGGGAAAGGGTAGAAAGGCTGCAGCTAAGCAGGCTGCTACTCCCAAGAAAGCAGCACCAGCACCCAAGCAAGCAGCAAAGGCACCAGCACCAGCACCAGCACCAGCACCAGTAGCAGGCAGAAAACGAACATTGGGGGAAATGTTGGAAGGCGGTAACAACGGTGAAGATGAAGACGATGATGTGGATGAGCCCAGGCCGGCGATGAGCACTAGGGGCCCACAACAACAACCACCAGCCAAAAGGCCAAAACCGTTGCCGGTCTTCCCCAAGGAGGACTGATGGCTCGCAAGGCTGCCTCCGATCCCAAGGCCAACCACCGAAAACAACTTGCTGGAAACAATACCTTTCTCATTCCTCGAAAGTCAGCACCGAGAACAGGTGGAAATGGAGAGAGAAATGATGGAAATGTTAGACGTAGTGATGTGGAGAGGTGGAGGGAAAATTGGGAGAGACAACAGAACGAGAGGCAGAAGAAGAAATCGCCGCCTGTCAGGGTTCAGGTTAGCAATGGAATGGGAGGAGTGAAGGAGAGGGTGATGCGCTTTGATGAAGATGGTGATGATAATGGTAGGCCTAGGAGAAGTCAGGGAAGGGGTGGGGAGGAAGAAGAGGAAGAAGAGGAAGAAGAGGAAGAAGAGGAAGAAGAGGAAGAAGAGGAAGAAGAGGAAGAAGAGGAAGAAGAGGAAGAAGAGGAAGAAGAGGAAGAAGAAGATGATGATGATGAGAGGCTTGGAAGGGGTCGGGGGAGAGGTCGGAGAAGGGGGAGGGCTAGGGGAAGGGGTGAAGATGAAAATGAGGAACTGGAGGAGGAGGCCCGGTTATTGGCCGAGAGACATGCGGCAGAAGCGGCAGAAGCACGAGCCGAGCTAGCAAGAATGGCGGCAGAGGCAAGAGAGGCGACAGAGGCAGCACGAGCAGCACAGGCAGCAGCAGAGGCGGCAGCCAGAGGTGCAAGAGTGGCGGCAGGCGGCAATCCCGACGATGACGGTGATGGTGACCCTAACAACAATGACGGTGACGACGACGACAACAACAACGATGATGATGATGACAACGGCGACGGCGGCGTTGGAGGCCCATCAGACTCCTTAGACAATTCACCACCCCAAGCATAACCTCCGAAGAGCTCCAGCGGCACATGCCCGACATCGAAGGCGACGAGCGGATCACTTCGCGACTAGCCCAACTCAAGGAGTCCTTGCAGACCAGGAGAAATCGAGCCCAAGCCGACGGGCTACCGTACACCCAGGGCATCTTCTCACGCACAACTGGCGAAAAGTACGGCGATCACGTCACCCTCGAGGATCTCAAGCGGGACTTTGCCCATCTCAAGTTTCTGGTTCAGAAGTTTGTGAGCAAGGTCCCCACCGACGAACGAACCGATGAGGAGTTGAAGAACAAGGTACCGTCGGTCTGGGCTGAGATGAAAAAGATAACAAGGCATGCACGTGCGTATTGGAGAACTGAGCCGGGCCCGCTTCGAAAGTGGTTGTTGGAGGCGTTGGTCTGGAGGAGGCTGCATAAGGTCATGTTTGATCGGCAATATTCCGAGTACTTCGCTTTCGGACACGGCAAGGAGACGTTGGCCGAGTTTTGGGTGACTTCTAGTAAGTCTTTTCTTCTTGTTCGAGCTGGTAGACGTTCTGTGATCTGTTAGTGACTGAAACGTTTTGCTAACCTGTGGTTTTTTTGACAATTAGTAGCAGCAGCAAGTGGAAGCTTTGAGGAAGCCACAGCTGAACTCTGTCAGCAGAAGGCTCGTCTGGCGACGTTCCTCAAGGAAATGTACGAGAAGGAAAGCCCGTCCCGGGTGGCGCGTGCTTGCGAAGTGGTCTTCGTGAATGGCATCCTTGATTTCTTTAGGAAAAGATATATCGAATACGAGGAGGATGAGAGATATTTCTTTGAAGAGAGGGCGGAGCGGGAGCGAGAATTGCAGGATCTGGCTGTGCAGATCATCACCCACGCCGGCGACTTCCAGTCGAGGATGTTGCGCTCAAAGGGGAACTGGGCGCTTATATATCGGGATCCTCGGGATGAGGAGAAAACGTACAATTATCCTTTCGCGCCCGACAAGATGCACCTGAGAGTCCTTGAGGATGAGTATGTCGCAAGCGAGGACCCGACTGGGCATCTGGGAGATATTCAACCGGATGAGGAGGGTAAATTTGTTCGTCTTGCCATCACTCCGGGACTGTGGGATTTTGCTGAGTGGGCGGAGACGGACCCCTATTATTCGGTCCCGCATGTGAGGTCGGAGGTATCGATATTTAGGCAACTCCCAGCAAAGTCGAAGAAGGAGAGCGCTGCAGGGAAGGAGAAAAAGAAATATTCGAGGCAACGCGGACGGCGATGAGGTTCGAACGCCGGTCCAACAGTTCGATGAGATCCTGTGTCGTGGCCCGTTCCATACTTAGTTTTATATAGATGTGTGGAAATTGAGCATATATCTTCTTGCAAAGGTTTACATAAGAGTGACGAGATTGGTAGACATACCAGGAAGCGAGGCAATGTGAAAAGCTCGTCAGGTGCCAGGAACCCGGGGTCTGAGCAACAGACAGGTCCTGCGATATGCAGTGACCGCCATCCATCCCAAAGGTGACGCACAGATGGTCACCTAGGGGATAATGCATGAAGTCGTTTACCGCAAACGCGCGCGGTCTTGTTGGGGTTTGATCTTTCTGTGTCTGCCAAACTGCATAAACATCAACGCCCATCTGGACCTCTTGCGCCTGATTCAGACACTGACCTACGTAGAAGATCATGTCAAAAGTCAGCATGGCTCTCCCGTCAGTGGTAACTCGACCTTCCTTGTGCCGACCTTCCAACCTCCGGAAGAGTTGGGACCGGGGCGCTCGCTCTCTTCGCGCATATGGTGGTGCCCAGTTTACCTCCGGCCAGCAGTTCTCGATCGGCACTTCTCAGCAACGTGGGCGAGCAACACGCAGTCCAGCACAATTCTCCCGACATGCCACTCAACTATTCATCTCCCACGCCCCCGAACGAGTCGCGCGATCACTCACCCAATGGCACCCGCCCACAAACCAAGACATGTGGGAGCAACCCATCCTGATAATGGGTGCCGGCCATATCGGCCGCCGGGTAGCTTTAGTCTGGGCGTCCGCGCTCCGTCCAGTAACGGTCTACGACATCTCCAAAGACGCGCTCCGCTCCTGCACCGAGTACATCACCGACAACCTAGCCAAGTACTGCCTCAGTCACGGGACCCATCCCGGCCCCGTCCACTTCACTACCGACATTCGCGAGGCGACCACAGCCGGCAAGCGCGACGGCCTGAAGTTGGATTTCAGCGCGGCGCACAACACCGGGCCCTCCGCCTCCTCCAAGGTGAAGAAAAAGGGACCGTGGATGGTGATCGAATGTCTCCCAGAGAACCTCTCCCTCAAGATCTCTGCCCTGGCCGAGATCGAGCGCTTGCTGCCGGAAAACTGCATCATCGCGTCCAACAGCAGCAGCCTGATGACTTCCGAGATGGCACCCCACCTGCAACACCCGGGTCGCCTGCTTAACACGTACTACTACATCCCGCCGCGTAACATTTATGTGGAAGTGATGTCCTCCTCGCACACGTACGAAGGCATCTTCCCGTTTCTGACGCAGGAAATGAAAAACATGGGACTGAGTCCCATGGTGGTTCCCCCCGGGGTCCAGTCACAGGGGTTCATATTCAATCGCATCTGGGCGGCGTGCAAGCGCGAGACGCTGGCGGTGCTGCAGGAGGGAGTTGGGCAGCCGGCGGAGATCGATGCCCTGTTTCGCGACTTTTTTCATGCCGAGAAGGGGCCTTGTGAGCGCATGGATGAGGTTGGACTGGATATTGTGGCTAACGTCGAGGAACACTATATCGAGAAACGGCCCGAGATTGCAAAGTCTGGAGAGAAACCGCTGGAGTGGTTGAAGAAGACGTACGTTGATCGTGGTGAATTGGGCGAGAAGAGTGGTGATGGCTTGTACACGTTGGAGGAAAGAGAAGCGCTCAAGGCGAAACATAAGCTGGAGAAGTATCCTGACGTGGAGGAGGCACTTGGTGCTTGATGGGAATTGTGCATGTGGCCACTGTCTTATTCTTTGGAGGCGTCTTGTCGTCAGCTGTTGTTCGAAAGTGAGTTGAGATTGGAAACGAATTGAGAGTGCATTGAAATCAGTGGCCAGTCAGTATTTCATGCCACGTCTAGCGACGATTAGCAGTTAGCGCCTCAAAATACACCAAATGTTGTTAGCAATTTGTTAGCCATGTGCGCCCCACCTTCCCCTGAAAGCAAACGCTTGCTCTTGCCCTCACGAGGATTCACCTACCTTTCACATCACGGCAACACCAGGGCAAGACCAGTCGATTCCTTCATTCTCCAACTCCAGCTTGATATTACAGACGTAGGAGGTATTGCTTGCTAAGGGCCTACATTCAGACATGATGCGAAGTTTACCAAAATCCTCGCCAAGACATCCCAGGACAAACATCGACCATATAAATACCAGTCATCTTTGACATAAATCCATTATGCTTTCCACAACATTGAACACTCTGCTAATGTCCAGAATGTGAACCACCCCCCACTCGCCCATTACCCGCACCCCGGGCTGGATGGTCAGGAGCACTGCCATAGCTCCCCTCATGATGATCCAACAGCTTTGCTGCGTGCCCATCCGCCGGCACACCACCACTACCAGTCGCCAACGGATCCGGCGCACTAGAACTAACCCTCACATAATTCTCATTCCGATTGTTCTCCTCCGACTGTCTCACAGCATTGTACTTTTTGAACGCAACCTGGACCAGTAGTCCGACCTCCTTGCGGTTCCGTCCGATGACGCCCACGGCCAGCAGCGCCTCAGTCTGCTCGATCCAGTCCTGCAGCTTTCTGAACTCGGACTGGTCGTGCCGCAGCCGCTCGGGTAGGCCTTGGCCTTTGATGAGCGCTAATACGCCGGCGATGACGGTGTTGATTGCGCCTAGGACAGTGATGAGAATTTCGTGTTTACCTGCTGAGGGGCCACTGGATGGTAAAGGTTTTGGTCAGTCATGTTTACGCCAAGTGGTTGTTGGTGTTAAGTAGCGGGGGGAAGAAAGTAGACGGCAAAACTCACAAACCAGTCAAAGCAGCTCCAATCAAAATCTGCGCCAAATGACTGGCATAAAGCAAAAAGTCGATAAGCGCATGCTTCACCCGTTTCTCTCGCTGTGCCTTCATCGCCGCGGCGTACATGCCCACCGCCCGGCTGCGACCCTCTTCCAGGCTTCGTGGGTCCGACTCCCCAGCCAGCCCGCTGTTGATGCCGATTGCCCGTCGGAAGATCACCAGGTTCTCATCGTTGGTCCCCCGCATGGGAAGACCGGCTGGATCGCCCCATGATAGGTTGGTGTCGGCTTTGATGATTCCTCGCTCGGCGGCCGTGAAGGACCGCACGGCTGCTGCTTGGACGGGCGTCATTGTCGGGGTGACGGCGGGCGCTTTAGATGTTGATGTTGAGCCGGTGTCAGTGCTGGTTTTAGTGGGTGGTAAGGGGGATGCAGAGGACATTGTCCCGTCTTCTTCTGATATTGTCCAGCGTCTTGCTAAGTCGGGAATTGATTTCGATGGGTAGCCAAAGTCTACAGTAGATATCTTTGACCTAGTGTCCGGACTGCTGCGACTTCGACTTGGCTTCTGCCTCGAACTCTCTTTGGTTTGGACAGGAGATGATATAGTGTCGAATCTGACGGCGCTTTTGACGTCTTGAAGAAGGGGTGACTGTTCATCGGCCTGTCCGGTGTCGATATCCTCACGCTCCCCGGCGCTCGTGCTGCCTGATGACCGAGATCCTGGCATATTGCACTAGGGCGCAAATGTCTTTTCCCCAATGAGAGTGACTGGTGATATTTGGTTGCACTGTGCCTGTCAGCATACCCAGGCTCAAATCCTTCTCCTGCTGTCTCCTTCAGTGTGTCTGTGGGGGTCAGTTTAATGGTAAAGTCGATCACGGTTGTGTGTCTGAGGAGGCATCCATCAAGCTCGGTCTGCTGGTTCTCCGCCGAGAAAGGACATAAAGCACTGAAACCAAGTGAATGGCATCCACCTTCCTGTTTCCAACGGGATATTAATATGAAAGCTTCCAACAAATCGGGGTGACAGTCATCTTGCTCGACATCTTGTGCTCCCCAAGAGCGGAAATATTGAAACTCTGTGCTCCCGGAGGTCTCAGCCTCATCGGCTCTTACTGGTTAAACAAAATAGCCATCACGATGCTTGGGCGCCACCAGATGGTCCGTACAACTAGGAGCTGTTGAGCTTTCAAGATTAAAGATGAAGATGAAGAAATGATTCAGCACTTTCTGAGGCAAGCATTATGTTCTCTGCACCAAGCAAACTGCATTTCAACAGCGCGAGGGTGTCCCCAAGAACATGAAAAAAGGAAGCAAATCCCACTTCCTGAATGACACATCCCACCCTGTTGTATGTTTCATCAGCCTTATGAAAACAGTGGGGGACTACCCCGACAGTTGTATCATCACGGCTTAAAAGGTCCCGAGAGTAAATGCCCGACTGTACAAGGCAAATGAGCCACGAACCGAAACATAGTACCCAAGTGAGAAGGTGGGACAGTGGAGCGGCTGGATGATGTGCAGGGCAATAAATGGGTGACACAGGAGCCGAGCCTTGCCTGTTGTCAGCTTACCTGCCTCGGTCTAGCATCGTCGTCGAGGGCGGCCGTGTGACTGGCTTGGGATATTAACCCTGGCACGGGGGTTAAGGACGTTATGGTCAACTTTCCAAGCCTCAGCCGTTGCTCTGGTCTGGAGACGGAGTAGGTCACAGCCTCGATCAGATGCTGTGTGTCCCCTACTGCTTCTCTGAGGTCGGAGATCCGATCAAGCACATCCACGTCTGTGCCGTTGTTACCAGCAACCGGCCCCCAATGTCACCTGGGTGTGGCTTTGTTGCGTTACCGAAATCTGGTTGATGTGCTAGCAGTCGCGGCGGAGACATGGCGGTCGATTATATGTCGAGTTCTCCCTCAGAGATCGTCAGGCTCGGTTCCGGCCGAAATGGTTCGCAGGTTGACTTGTTGTCGAGGAGGGATATTGACAGCATTGTTAGTAGTATTCTTGTCCTTGGGAGTCGACACATGTGCTTCTTACCTGAGAAAGAAAAAGGGTGGTGAAGCTTCGTCCTCAACAAAGTAATCGGAATCGGATTGTACAGGTCTGTCTCCCAGAGAAGACGGACACTGCACGCTGCGTATTGCACTCAAGTGGTTCTACCCACAAGCTTCGTAATGGCTCTCCCAGAGGACGACTTACACACCAGCTTGTCTTAGCGCGCGCAGGAAAGAAGCCTGCTTTTCTGATGCCAATTACACACGCGGTGTGGCGCGAGGCCGTTGCCGGCAGCATTGCCATAATCTTGTCAAGCGAGACCACCGAAGTGAGCCCACCCTGACGCGATCAGAGGGGTGATTGAAGTGAAGCGATTTCTCCGAATTTCTCATATGCCATGGGTGAAAGAAATGCTGAGGCAAGACTCTCCGTCGGTAGCATAGAAACGCAGCGTTGAAGGGGACGAAGCTTCACGGGGGAGGAAGGAGGAAAGAAACAAGTGGAAGTTGTGACTCGGGTCCTTTATGGAGGGATGGATGGGGTGACTGGTGCCGAGGCTCCATCAGAAATCCGCGAGTGGGTCCGGACGGTCCCACTGTTGTCTGCAAACGCCGACTCCGCAATTCGGAGTTCATGCCGCCGTGGCCCCGCGAGCCCCGCACTCCGGCACGGCCCTTGGTCTCCACTGTGCCCGCCTACCCCGCGTTCCACTCGCCCGCTTATGCCCCGCACTCGGACCTGTACAGTATTACAACTTCAAAACAAAATCCTCTGAGCTCTCGGCTACTTTCAAAGACACCGACCGACAGACACGAGGGTCCAAAAATGACACAGGCCCGAATTTGGACATTGACGACGTTCAACATGCAAGACACAACCTGAACATCATGTGGTGGAAAAGGTTCTGGTGTTATGTCAGCCGCTCTTCATCTTCCTCCAGTCGGTTGACGGCCCGAGACGCCAAGAACATCGTGCTCGAGAATACGAAGAGAAGGCGTTATAAGTTCCCGACGATCGACAAACACGTGTTGAGGATAAGAATGGAAGGCTTTCCCGAAGGATGACAAGAAGAGCACGAGCAAACACGCGGAGACGGTCCAGCCGTGTCCGGATTTGACACGAGCAATCCCGTTACGAAGAAAAGCAGGATCTAAAACACCAGAACCAGAGGGTCGAAGGTCCTAGACATGGTTGGTGATGGAGACCATGGGGCGCAACATAGCTGAGGTCCAAGAACTATGCCACGCCCCAACAATCCAAGGCCGTGCGTTGTTGGGCAATTCCAGGATCGTTGGTGATGGCTTCTACCAAGCTAAGATTCAAAACAACCAACACCAACAACCCACGGAACCAAACATCTGGTTACATATAGGCGCAATGCCCCCCGGATCAACACAATGGAACGCTTGCAAGCAACCACGGGCCCCAACACAAACAGGGAGACAATTTTTAGCACATCGTACCTTAGCATCGGCAGGGCCCCTTCCAGGCCTCGAGTGCCGGAAGCTTCACCACGGCATGTTTCTTTAACTGCCCTGCTGCATGCACTTCGGGAACGTAACGCTTTAGTGCTTGTTACATCCCACGCAACCCATGATGATCAACCGAAAACCCCACTGCACCAACTGGAGCGAATAGCAGCGTTCAGAGGATTCACAGCCAATATCGACAGGCTGCGCCTCTCCTAGCCCTCCATCCGATTGGGGCGGACGTTTCAACCGCAACGACACCACCCCAGGAACACCCAGTCAACACCACGTTTTTTTTCGTCAAGAACGATAAACCCAACAATGAACGACAAGCCATCACTGTTCGGAAAAGCCTTCAATGGGTGGTGGTAAAAGTACTATCACGGGCAACCTGCATTGCATACTCTGACCTACCCAAGGTATTCCTAGTAAAGAAAAGCTCGCGATTCATGGATGCACAACATGAGGACACAGTTCAGCCCGAGTCCGGTATACCTAGAGCCACGGCTTGGCACTTTGTTTGTGTTACTTCAAGGGCAGCATGCGCGAATCGATAATACACCCATGCGTATTGTACTCACCTTGTTGATTGGAGGCGCAGTAGTTAATCTATACTCAGTAGAGACCTTGAAGGTGGGATCCGTGGGTCACCTTGTTACTAACTCAACTGTAAACCGGGACCCCAGAGCTTTTGAGTTGGTTTCCCAATGATCGCCCGGCCGGCCCCGGAACTGGTCTAGGGGGGTCAATCTTGGATACGGGTTTAGTGTTGGTGGTTCGGTATGTATGCCGATGGCGATGAGACTGTTGTCTAAGTCTGGGTGTGAGGTAGGTCTCTGTGCTCTCTGTGTTGCGCCGCCTCTTGGTACTACCTAGCATCATGTCACCACCCGCTTTTTTGAGACTTAAGGTATTGTTTTGAATACATAATGGAGAGGGGTCGCTATCCTGGGTAACTGATCTCTTATCCGTGTTATTACTACCTGAAGTTCTCTCCAGTTTGATATTGTCACAGAGAGACACTCTTTCCCTCTAGCAATAACACACGCACTCACACACTTGCCATATTCTCTCTCACGGACAGACATCACAACCATACCGGATCCAAGATGTCACCAAGACCATCACTTAATCCTCGGGACTTCATCTCACCCAGTCCCTCCCCGTCCTCCCCAAGATCCACCAGCTTCACATCCAACCACTCTCTCCCTTGGATAATCATCGGCATAGTCGTCGGCCTGACCGTCCTCGCTACCTCAACAACCATCATAATCATCTACTACAACCGACGCCAACGCCAACGCCAAAAACAAAACAATCCAAACCACACAACCCCAAGCCAGTCTCAGCTAATAACACCAACACCAACACCATCAACAACACAACTCCAACCACAGCAACAACAAACCCCCCCACTAAACCTCAGCTTCCTCCGACGAGACAACAGACGAAAAGATTCAGCGGCCACCCAGAGATTTGAGCAAGAAGAGCTCCAACGCGCCTCCATGATCCGCAAGTCCTACGCTTCTCGATCATGGAACTCCTTGTCGCTAGATAGCCAAATGTCCCTGTCTATGAGCCAGCTATCACCCACACGAACAGTCGGCACGCTGGGTACTTACTATGGGAGCAGTAGTCGAGTGAACACGTTGGAGAGGGTCAACACCACCGAAAGGATGATGATGACCGACAACACATATAACGAGCAACAAAACATGAGGGATATGAAGGTGGACGAAGATGGCTTGGAAACACCCACTACGCCAACAGAATTGAGAGGGACGACAGCAACGGAAGACAGAGGAGGCAGAGGAACAGCTACTAGCAGGCTGAAGGATGACTGGAAGGCCTGGGAGGCTAGGGTGAAACTGGAGCGGTCGGTGTCGGGGGAGTTGCATCCTGTTTATACCGCTGCTGCTGATGCAGGGACTGAGACTGAGACTGCGATCTATGGGACTGAGTGTGGCGGCGTGGCAAGGACGGTGAAGGCTGGTGAGGTGCCAATTCCACCTAGGCATCCGGGCAGGATAGAGAGTCCTTCTATGATGTGAATATGGTTTAAGGAGAACGGGTCATGCATGGGCTTGGGTCTTGGACATGAAGGGATGGTGGTTCTTTTTACTGGGGCTTATAGGGCATAATGGCGCGTTGATTTGGCCATCGGGAAAGGAAAAGGGTTGGGTGTTTCTGGGTAACGGTTATGGGTCTGGTACCGTACTAGGAACTGTTGGTGTTAAACTCGGCTTGCTTTTTAACCCAGATTAGGTCAGTCGAGGACAATCACAAAGTGATCTTCGGGCGGATATTTTGCACACTTGTTTTATGTGAAATCTGATGTCATTCGCTATCCTTTGGTATTCATTGCTTCCAACACTATTCGCTCATTGCACCTCGTTAACTGTTCCTCCACCAACTCTACCCAAGCTCACCAACGAAAGTCCATCGACCCTTCACCACTTCCGGGTCGCTTATGCCTTCTCTCGTCGTGTTCTACCTGTTCCTCATCTTCATCCATTTCGTCAGTAAATTTGACCCTCTTCTTACTCCCCTTGTTCTCCTCTTGGGGCTCTCTCTGCTCCATTGTTGTCTGCAACTTTCTCTTCCTGAAACCGCTGTTGCCACAATTTTCCTCCGCCATACGTGAAGGCCCAGGCTGTACATCCTCCATCTCGATATTTATATCGTGCCATCTGCCAGCTCCAGCCTGATCTGTGCCGCTCGCATCATCCAAAAGCATTATCTCATCCGCCCCAACATCTCCTTCATATCCTTTCTCAACCAGAGGCTGCCTCGTGATTCTTCTCAATTCCCTGATGATCCTGTGCAATTTCTCCTTTTGGGACTTCTGTAAACCCTGTTTGTCCATGTTACATCCCTCCATCCTTGTCAGGCTGAGATGAGAACGTAACAAGTTCCGAGGCACGTCTTCAATGTCCGAAGAGCCCGGAGTGTCCGAAGCAGCAGAAGCAAGGCTAGGAGTGCCTGAAACAGGGGAAGAAGAAGTAGGAGGGCACCGGCTTGGTGGGGATGGCATGTCTGGTGGTGAAAACGTGGTTCTTGCTCCTTCTCGCTCCTTCTCGGGGGTAGCGTTGCTTCGGCGTCTTCGTTCTCCTTTTCGATTATTTATGCTGACTGGTGGTGCCCCAAGATCGGAAATGTTTGGACGTTTGCAGTTTGGCGTAGAACAAAGATAGGGATGGGTCGAGTCGATGTAAAGGTTTTGTACTGCTTTACAGACTGTCGAGTCGATTTCGGAATCGTAGCCGCTGTCTTCAGTCCTGTTGCTACTGGCTGCCCCTTCCTTTGAGGTGGCCGAGATAACGGCCATAGCGGAACCTGGGGTCGATGGATTAGTGTCGGAGAGGAGGAAGCATTTGCCAGAGTTGCTCATAGCAAAGTTGGGCCTATGTGGCGCTGGAGCTTTGATGGAATCGATTTCTCTCTGGGAGAAATTGTATTTTACACGAGAGATCGTCAGCTAGAGATACCGGAGCAGGTTGACCACGGTCTCCTCAGATGGAGGTAGAGAGGAGACTCGAGGGAGGTTGGCTCTAGCCTTTTTGATAGCGACTGAGCTCTCTGGAACAAATTAATGATTGATTGTTGTCCTGAGTAGACGAGTTTATATGTCTACGGTTTGCTGGATCAGATCAGGTTTTACTTTGGAAAGGAGGACCTATGTTTGGGGCTCAATAATCTTTTGTGAAAAAGCAAAAAAAAGTTTAAGAGTGTGGGGAGGGGAAGCGGCCTGCGTGTGCTGTTCTGGTTGCATGCGTGATCGCGTGAAGAACTCCGCCTCTGGTTCTGCCGGTTCTGTCTGTACGGACTGCCAGATTTCGAAACTATGAGATGCCGAGTGCCAAAACCTCGAGAAAGAAGGCGGAGGTAATGGCTTTTGAGTAAGTTTCTGCCCCGAACACGCAGTAAGGATGTTGTACAAAGTGAACGCTGATTTGTCCAAGTGGAAAGCTGGAGTTTTTAAATGTGCAATGTAGTTGGGAGAGCAGGTTTGGGTCTGTGAAAGCAATCAATGATGGGGAAGATGCTTGTTTTCCAGCTTCTTTTCCAGGGTTGAAGAGTAAAAGACGTGCCATGCCCACAGCTTCCTCTAAATATCCTGAAAATGCAAATGCAAGGTGGGTGGGATGCACCTTCCACCTGCAAGAGTTTTTTTCTTCCACTGGCGGGGCACTCAGTTGCACTTGCCATCTTCCCCATTCATCATCACTTTTGGGAAACTACAACTCAGCAGATGAATCATAACAGAACCGGGCCGTCGTGGGGTGGAAGCGCGGATTGAATCACCGGCAGCGTTGCCCAGCACAGATTGCAATTCACTTCTACGATGTTCAGGAGACAAGGACAAGAGAATACGGAATACAATCGCTTGCTACTTTGATTCTCTTCGGACTTCCCCCCCCATGGAGGTAGGTACCTCTAACCCTCAAACCTGTTCCATACCTAGGTATCTCTCCCGACCGCCAGACCACATCTCCCGTCAATAGCACCACCGATGATAATATTCCGCTACCACCCTCTCTGCGGCTTTCTTCTCCTTCTTCTCGTCCTTTTTTGCCCTCATTTTCCCATCTCCCTTTCCCTTCCCCTTCTTCTTCTTGACATCCTCCCGAGTCCACTTCCCCATCTTCTTAACCTCCTTCCACTCCTTCCGTCCCCAACATTCGCCATTTTCTCCCCTACTCTTCATCTTTTCCCCGTTAGCACGCATCGTGTAGTACTCATCCCTCATTAGCATCGCAGCTGCAGCCGCAGCAGCATATAGTTTCTCATACACCTTCATCTGACACTCCTTTACACTTCCACATCCATACCCACCACTCTCACACTCACAACCACATCCACTTCCACTTCCAGAATCAGACTTTTACTTCTTTCCTGGCCCTTCCCCGCTTCCCATCCTCCTTGCACATAAGAATCTTCCTCGTCAGAAGCTATGTTCCTACCTCTTTGTTCGCTCGCCTCAATATTTTCTCTAGAGGAAGTGAGTCAAGCAGTCTAAAAACCCCTTATGAATGATATCCTTTATTCTTTTGAACCTCCTTGCTATTTCTCTCGGCAGCCGTCTTCTTTTGATCCTTGTTGACTTCCTTGGGGAAACCCTTCTAGTCTAGATTTTGTCTTCCTTGCGGTCGGTGTCGGCGTGGTTGGCCTTGCTGGTCTGTCCGGAGGAATTGTTGTCGGAAGAGGACCTAGTGAGTGAGCTGCTGGCTTGGATGAGGTTTTGGAGGGAGGGGGTGCAGAGCTTGGGGCTTGGTTTTCTTGGTGGTCTTAAAAGCTAGGTAGAAACCTCGGTGGCGGTTCCTGCGGATGTGAGGCTGTGGCTGGAGAGAGAACTACTTCGTCTGTTGCGGCGAGAAGAGGATTTATAGACTTTCTGCACTCTTCCATAGAAGTCACTTTAAAATAACGGACTAAAGGCTCCATGATCACGCTAGCTGTATCACCGGACCTGGACTCTGAGGGCCCAGAAACATCGATGAGACACTTGTGCTTCCATACTCACCGGCGACGGAAGCCAAATAATAGCGGTCGATTCCACCGTTGGCCTCTGGTAAACGATATCAAACTGCAAAACAGAATCACCTTGTGTATCGCTTGATCGGACAATCTAACCTGGGAGTTGTGATAAGGAAAAGACAATAAAGGGAAGATGGCGTGGAGACCCCAAGGTCATTGCGAGCGTATTCGAGATCTGGACCTTACTGCTTATCATAGACTCAACCGATGTTGACGTATTAATCAATCCAGTTTGCTCAGCAGATTTAAGCTGTCAGCCAACCTTCCGCTATTCCAGTTCCTACGCCGCTTAAAATTCGAATTCATCCGACCGGGAGTAAGTTAGGGAACGCTTGCCGATGGTTCAACACAAACTGAGGAACGTTGAGCTCTTGTTTTACTTGAGGAAGAAGACAAAGAAACACAACACCGGTGCGCAAACAACGCCAAGGTGTAGAAGGTAGCAACCTCGGAAGGTCGTATGCAAAAAAATGGCGCTTAGCTTCCAGTACGTCATTGTATCCAACTATAAAGGGTTTTAATGCCGTCCACGGTCCCACCAATCCCATACTTTTCCGAGTAGCTTGCGTTCTTGGACCAATGTAGAACTTGCAGCACCGGACAGATAACATATGATGTTCAACCAAACAACCAGTCCAGAGCCCATTCGAACCGATTCCTATGGAAATGTCAGCTTTGTCTTCTGTTCATCCGGCAAACTTTGACGTTTGACTCACCTAGACGGGATCGGCACATAGTTTGCCTGATACTCCTCCACCTCATCAAGGTTCTTGTACAAGTCAATCTCCTCAGCCTTGTGGAATTTCGTCTTCTTGACGAGCTTCCACACCACAAAGAGCACGGGACAAACACCGATCATGGTGTACCTAAAAGCAAAAAACATTTGTCAGCCGATTTGTAATCTCAAGTCATCGAGGACCAGGGCAGGTAAAGTAACAAGCAAAAAAATGCAAACTCACGAGAACAAAAACGTGGGGACGTTCCACTGCCCCGGCAAAAAACACCGTATACCCTCCCACAAACGTCATAACAAAGCACCCGCAGAGGCCACATACCACCGCATACGGCTGGAAAAGCCCCTTATACGGCAATTTGTCGCGGCTGATCCCCTGCGCCTTCAGCGCCGAGTACCATCTCAGATACGCGGTGCACGTAACGCTGTAGTTGATCAGCTGGCTCGCTGTCACAAGGCTGACGAACCACGAGAGCACCACCGCCGCGTTGTTGCTAACCTGCAGAAAAGCCAGCAAGCCAATGCAGAGAACGACGATGACGCAGTAGATGGGCACGCCGGAGCGGGTGCATTTCAGTAGGGCTTTGGGGGCTTTGCCCTCGAGCGCTAGACCGTAGAGAGAGCGCGAGGCGCAGTAGACGTAGCTGTTGCCCGCGGAGAAAGCGGCCGTGAGGACCATGGCGTTGACGATGTCTGGGAGAACGCGGATGCGCAGCCGGTTCATGGCAACCACGTAGGGCGAGGCGGCGGCGCCGGGGGCGCCGGAGGAAAAGGCGAGGGCCATCTCGGCGTCGTTGTAAGGGACCAGGATGCCGACGGCGAGAGAGCCGAGGACGAAGAAAGCGGTGAGACGGTAGAAGACGGCGTTGAAGGCGCGGGGCATGACGACACGGGGGTTCTCTGCTTCTCCGGCGGCCTGTGGGGGGGTGTTAGTTTCGTCTTGTTTACTCAATGATAGGGGAGCAAAGGGGTACATACCATGGCAACGTAATCCGGTCCAGCAATGGTGAAGCTTGCCTGGATCAAGCATTGGAGGAAGCCCAACCAGCGACCAAGTGATCCGGTGTAATACAGCTCAGTGAAAGCACCGGGTTCCTTCCAATATCTGAACCCAAACCGGTCTCCCAGTGGATTTCCGCCCACCATCACGATAAAGGTGAAAATGAGCAATCCCACGATGAGAAGAAACTTGCCCAGCGCCGCCCAGAACTCGGTTTCACCATACCACTTCACAGCCAACAGGTTGACCAATCCGTAGATTACCAGCGTGATAGCGATGATGCCGCCAACGGGTACGGCATCGCTCCAGTAGTGAATAATGACGTTGCAAGCGGTGATTTCGAACGGCACCATGGCGGCTTCGAAGATGAAGAAGTTCCAGCCAGCAGCAAATCCAAAGGCCTCGTCGACGTAACGACCGGCAAAGCGGATGAAGGGCGAAGAGATGGGCAGGTAGGTGACCATTTCGGCCATGCACATGGTGATGGCCAGGATGAAGGTACACCAGATGGTGAAGGCCAAGAACAAGCTGGCAGGTCCTCCGTTTAGGAGACCCTTGCCGATCTGGACGTAGAGAGCAGTGCCGATCGTACCTCCAATGCCTAATTTTTGTGACTCGTGTTAGTCAGGTCAGGTCAGTTGATGAAGAACAACAAGGATAGAGTCTAACCGATCAGCTGGATATGACGGGACTTGAGCTTGCGATGGGTTTTGTCGCCACCGCCACTGCTGGACAAGGAAGCCACCTCATGGTGAACGTCGCTTCCAGAACCAGTGCCCTTCTCGGCGTCGGCTGTTTTGGAGGTGTTTGGGGGCCGTCCCTCGATATCGGCTCCGGTTGAAAACATCTTGGCCTCTGACCGAGATGTCTAGGGGTGAGTGATTAAAAGTATATATGGCTGATCAGATTCGTCTTGTGTTCTCTCAGTCGGTTTGTAGGGTGGACGGAAAGATTTGCTTGAGAAGTAGAGAGAAGAACTCGACGACGAAGATCATTGGGGTAAGTAAGTTGATGAGAGTCGAAGTTGAGTTGATGAGGATAGGCTAATCCAGAGCAAGTGAATTTGCCTGCTCTGGCAGTTCTTGTTCAAGTGGTTGTGTACGAGTTGAGAATTGCTCGAAGAATTGAGCTAAAGGTACTCAAGGAAGAGCGGAGGGGGAAAGACTTTAAATATAATAAAGTCTTTGTCAGAAATAAAGTTCGTGGCAGGTGGTCGTGGTTGATTAGGTACCTCTGAAGAAAAAAGTCATGCAGTCTTGGTACTGTAGACATGTGGTTCCTTGGCAAGGGTTCAGCAAGTCATACAGCAGGCCGCATTCAGAGCAAGACCCTGTAGGCCGGTCTCCCGGTGTCGTCCGTACCCCCGCCAGCCACTGGTGGCAACAATAAACAGTGTAGTGTAGCTCGAAAACTTTATTGATACCACCCTGTGATGGTTCTTGGATGACCATGGAGAGGAAGAGAAAGAAAGTATCATCAGCGATCGTCTCACTCGTCTCACCCGTCTCACACATCTGCTCTTGGCTGTTCTGTGGCTGTCTGTAGCTGCTAGCTGCAGTTTTTATAGGCATATGTCGCAGCAGTATTGCAGCTCTCAGCTCTCTCTGTTAGCGGTAGCTCACCACCTCGCAGCATTCCAGCTTACAGGTGAAAAACACTGTCCCTACCCCTGGTCTTTGCGTGCTTTGCGTCCTTGGCCGGGCTGTACGGCAAGTTGGAGCCATCCGCTCTTAGGGCCGGGGAAGAGTCCTCGAACGGCATGTGTGTACCGACTATGGCCCCACCCCGGGCCGGGGCCATGATCGGACTGTCTTCGGAAGAGTAGCCGTCAATATCTGAAGCCAAATCGGTGGATGGAGGACATCCGAGGTTGCGTGGTTCGGAGGGGCCCGCCTGAAGCTCTCACGGCTTGTCTCATTGTCCAATGAGCATGCTCCCAACTTTACCCTACCACAACTGTTTCCAGGGGTAACCCAGTGGTTCGGGCCTTGTTTTGTGGATCGAGCCAATGCTTGTGTGGATTTGGCCCCTGGTGAGCCTGGGGAAGGTTGGGGAAAGTTGTGGGATGAAACTGTGCGACTGCGGACCGTTGCCTTGTGCGATGTTATGGCTCAAGCCTCTCAGCTGTGGCTGACTGAAGATGGTTAATCTGCTTGTTGCCCTCAAATGACGACGAGGATAGCATATCAAGATTCAGGTAGAGTCCGGTGGATGGTGGTCTCGACATATCTCGAGATCGGTAGGACGTTGAAGTGGTGGGTGATGCAACCAGACCAGACAGACTCGGCAGCATCGTGGCTACTTCTAACACATTCTCGACTTCCGTGTGGAAATCATGATCCGCGGCTTAACCGGCAGGTGATCTGCGGTTCTAGTTCAGTCTGATTATAAACATACCATGGTACTGATTTCAAAAGACCATTGGTGATTTGGTGTCGTTGCTATGAGAACTGGAAGTGTGTGTATCAAAATCAACAATGACAAGTGGAAAGCTAGAAACGCACGAACCCATTTGAAGCATCGACACAAGCATAGTGTCTTGATGACGACAAGTGTTTTATACACTGTGCTTCCCAGGCTCCAGTTCCGCAGCCAAACGGGTTCACGGCGGGGACGCGACAGCGACATTGGAACTGTCCTACAGAAGCTGCCACCACTCAGCAACCAAATCAACACTAAAACAACATACTTTGAAACCACCCTTCGTCAATCAACTTAAATCAACATCCCGCCAAAAAAGAGAACGACCATAAAGGCGACAGTAGCCTTATACAAATCCCACCGAGGTTGACCACAACCATAACAAACAGCTAATCTCTTCCTCGTTTACCCCGCTGTCGACTGTCAACCATCAGCCATCACCAAACAACACAGCCGGGAGTCGCAACGAGTCCACGACCAAGAGTTCAAAATCATGGCCGCTACTACGGTCAACCCGTTGATGTCGACCCAAAAGTCAGACAACAGCCTACAAGTAGCTCTACACCCGCTGCCCATCCTCGAGATTTCCGACTACATCACACGCAGCTACCTGCGCGGCTACAAGGGCGCCATCGTGGGTGCCCTCATCGGCCAGCAAAATGGCCGTCAGATCACCATCGAGCACAGCTTCTCTGTCAAGACGGAACACAATGGGCAACATTACAAGGTTGATTCGGAGTGGTTCACGGCCCGTCTCGAACAGAGTCAGTCGCCCTATAATGTCACTTTTGCGCAGCTCCAAAGCAGTACCACTGACACACAGGTTCTCCCTCTACAGTGAGAGCCGTCCACAAGGATCGTACCCTTGACTTCGTCGGATGGTACACCCTTGTGCCCAAGAGCGGTCCTATCGACGCCCACCTCCCAATACACAACTACTTCTACCAACAAAACGAGTCCGCCGTTCTTCTCGGCTTCCACATTGAAAAAATCCTCAACCCCGTGGCCGGCGATCCTCTACCACTGACGATATACGAGAGCAACCTGGAGCTTGTCGATGGCGCCGACGCCAGTGCTACCGAAGCTGAAGGCGAAGACAAGGAGATGAAGGATGTCGCAGCTGAGCCCTCAAGATCGATCAAGTTCCGGGAACTGCCTTACACCACAGAAACGGGCGAGGCCGAGATGATCGCGCTGGAATTCGTGCGGGAAGGTGGCAGCGCCAATGTCACCTCTACCGCTACCAACCCAACAGCCGCCGAGGATGAGAGCCCCGACAAGCCTCTGATGAAGAAGGTCATCGACACAGTCAAGGGCAGCAAGCGACGCGCCGTGAGCTCAGATGACACGGCAGAAGCATCCACATCAAGTAGCGCCCAGAAGGGAGCTGCGGCAAACAACAGAGATGCCAACCTCACCAAGCCCGAACTAGACTACATGTCGGCTCTCCAAGCCAAGTACAACGCCGTTCAGATGATGAAGAAGCGACTCGACACCGTCATCTCCTACCTCCAACGGCTACCCCCCGATTACCTTTCCAGCGGAGACGCCACTCAGCAGCAAACGGAGGATACCCAGGCTCAGTACACTGTTCCCTCGAACAACATCCTTCGCCAGATCCAAGCGCTGGTGACCAACGTCCAACTAGCAATGTCCAACTCGGCTTCCGAGCAAGGTCAAACGGATCTGGGCGCGCTGGAAAAGGAGCTTCTCAAGGAGACAAACGACGTCAAGCTAGTCGGGCTGATCGCTGACCTGATGAGCAGCGTGAAGGAGATGAAGGAGGCGGGCAAGAAGTTCCAGGTGGTCGAGACAGCAAAGAACAACAAGCGGCGCGAACAGGCACCACACGGAGGACCAGGAGGGTATAACCCCAACAACCACCCGAACATGACGAGGAGAGAGTACCCCGGCCCGTCGATGGTGGGCGAGGGTTCTGGTTCGGGTTCAAACGATCTGGATAGCCTCGCTCTTCAGGGGTTTTCGGGCTAGGAGAATGATTACCAAGACTTTGAGTTTTCGGATTGACTAGGTATTGGCTTCGCCACTACTGGGATTCGCCATTCCCTTTCTGCTCTGCTTGTCATGGCTAAAACGCTGGCACGGCTGGGTACCTACCTTAGTTTCGAGTGCTGGCGTCCACAGCTACGGGAGTCATTCGCCCGCCTACGATACCTCCTACCCCATGGAAATCGGGGACCATAGTTACTAAGATGGGATTCTCGGGCAGAGAGAGGGTTTCTCATCCGTATGGAGGAAGAAGGAAAGAACGAGTTTTGATCCATTTTGCCGGTATGGCGTGGACAAACTGATAGATTTTAAAGTATTGTTATTATGATGCATGACGACGATGACAAAGAATAGATGAGGGAAAGCTATCTACCTAAGGAGGACTCGGACGCTGATCACGCTCGGCTCAAAGCAACAGTTGGTGGCACTTGGCACTTCAGGAGACTCCGATAATGAAACTACATACATGGTCAACTATCATATGTTCTTTTTGTGAAGGTCAGCAACTTCGAGCTTTCCCTAAACTTAGAAATCTCTGTAGTCATCCACCTTCTGCATTTTAAGTGTGACAAGAGGAATGAATGTCCATACAGATAGATGCATGAAAGGTCCACTATGAAAAGAGCTAAGAGGACCGACTGTGTTTGAACCCGGATTTCTCATGCCTTCTGGTTCTATGCTGTCATCACCATCATCGTCATCATTCACTATATGTCCTAACTGAAGATACTGTCTGTTTCCTGCCCAAAACTTGCAAATTGCCCTACTGTTGTACGTCTCATTTACAACCCCCATCCGCATTAGAAAATACTGATAACCTTCACCCTCTCCCCGACCCCAATAATAACCTCTGATAACTCACCGACCCAGCCCTCTTCCTGCTCTCCCGTCCATTCTCACCCGCTCCACTGACTACCACAGCTTTCCCGCCCTTCAAGCTCCCACTTGCACTACCCCCACTTCGGGTTCTACTGTGCCCGTTCTTAGTGTTGTTCTCTTGTTGATATCCCAGCAGCCCCCCCGAGGCATCCCTACCAACTCTGCTGGCACTTCGCCCCGGGGTGACTGTTGCGATTCAAAAGGTGCTCGTGGCCAACCGACTCGCCGCGTTCCTGGCATCCACTCTATCCTCATCGTCCTCTGGCAAACCAACCAGACTGCCTGCAGCACCCCTCGCACCGCCGCTGCCTGGCCTCTCCGGATCCTCGCCGCCCGCTTCCTCCCCTTCCACACCGACGCCGGGGCCAACACCCAGCACGCTACCAGCCATGAAGCTACCGGATATGCTCCTGGCACCACTGGCCGGGCCGGCATCACCGAGTCTTGCGCGGGGGACACCGCTCCACGCATCGCCCTTGGGTCCCTGGCTGGCGGCCACACTGGCGCGGCGGACGGTGGGGTGCGCTTCACGGCCGAGGCGGGACAGGCCGCCGCTGGAGTCGATGGCGCGGATGTCGGGCCGAACGCTCTCAAGCAGGGCCAGAGTGCGGCGCTCGGCCTCGATCTGACGGATCACGTACTCGCGGATGGACAGGCGCATGTCGGCGGCGGTGCGGGCAAACCACTTGCGGCGCTCGTGCACCAGGTTCTGAGTGACGCGGGTGGTCTTGTGCTGCAGGGTCAGTTCGGCCTCTTGGGCGTCGCGGAGGGAGGCGATGGCCTCGTCGACGCGCTCGCGACGCACGTTGGACGAGGATTTGAGCCGGTCGGCGGCGTTGAGCTTGCTGCGAGTGAGCTCCTGGGCTTGAAGAAGCTCGCGCATGAGGATCTGTCGGTTGGTGAGGGTTTCCTTGACAATGAAGGCGTCGCTGGAGTGGTACTGGAAGGGATCGCCAATGGTGGTGGCCTCGGCGGTGGCTTGGGCAGCGTGTAGGTCACCGACGGTCTGGAGGACCTTGCCGAGTTTGCGGTAGGCGTTCGAAAGACCGGGATGAGGCTCTTGGATGTGCATGTTCGAGAGCTTGATGCCGTAGTCAGCTTCGACAAGGCCCAGACCTGCAAGAGCAAAGGTTAGTAGCCGCAGTAGAAGTTGTTTCGGCAATGCAGTGGGATAATTTCATACCTCTACGAGTCTTGACAAGTTTGTCAACCTTATGACCCGCATCCATGGCACCAAGGTAGAACAACTTAACAATTGGGCGCGCCTCCTGCAACTCGGGGGTATCATCGGGTGGAGGAGCAAACTGCTTCAGGATCTTGCGGCGCACACCAGTCGCGGGCTGCTTCTTCTTGACCATGGGGCTGTAGCCGAAGTCACTCTCGGTAAAGAGAACCATCTCGTCATCCCTCATCAGGACCTCGTTGCTGCAGATATAGTTGAACCAGCGTTGCATCAGAGCCTTGACGCGAGCCTCATCCTCGTCGGTTCCGGCACCAGCAGAGGTAAGCGCTGGTGGCACAGCAGGCACGATGGCTTCGGGGTTTGCGGATATGAGGTGCTCAGCGAGCTTGATGAATTCGGAGTGTAGGCGGCGTACATCGCGGTACTGGGTCGTACGGAAACTGGGAAGGTTGGTCTGTACCTCAGGTTAGCGCAGATCAGGCGCATTGGCTCTTTGTAACATACGTGAACATCAAATCTCAGAATAGGATCCTTGCGGCCGGTACGTTCGAGTCCAGTAATCTTAGCCTGTAACTTGAACTGCGGTTGCGGTCTCCGGAACTGCTGCTGCACTCGCTGGTCTGGTGAGTATTGCTGCTGCTGCTGGGGCGGTGGCTGCTGCTGGTATTGCTGATATTGTTGTTGCTGTTGCTGTTGCTGATGGGGCGGGTACTGGGGATGTTGTTGTTGTTGTGGCGATTGCTGATGCTGTCCGTACTCGTGTTGCGGCTCTTGGTGTGACTCTGTCTGAGACTGCGGATGGACCTCGCCTTGGCTGACCTCGGCCGAATATGAAGCCTGGTTCTCCTGCTGCGGCTGGCTTGCGGGAACATCGTCGGAGAATAGGGCGCCAGATTGAGACCCGGGCGCGTCGGTGGTGTCATGTCGCTGGAATCCGTTGTCTCCTGCACCAAAGCCATCCTCATCGTTGAGGCCATTGTTCGCAGCCGGGGGCACATAGTCGTCGGAGATGATGGTAGAAGCGAAGGTCGAGCGGGTTGGCCGGGGCGATGAGCTAGGGGAGTTGCCCCAAGGAGAGCTGCCGGCGGCCTCGGTGTCGTTTATCGATGCGCTATAGTCCATTATGTCTCTCGGTTGTTGGATGTTGGGTCGGTATGGTTCGAGGGAATCACGGCCAGGACAACCGATGTCGTGAAAAGGCGAGGTGGTCGAGAGGAAGAAGAGGCCCAGGAGGGGGATGGTCGACGGCGTGGGCGGTCGGGATGACGTTGCTTTTGGTGAGGCCGCTGATACAGGCACAAAGACCAGGGCTAACTCCTTATTACTGCGACGCCGCGCCAAAGCTGATAGTGATGGAAACAGGCGAGTTGGTATAAGGCCTCTGTGCCTATGACTCTATATAACGGTAGTATTTGGGATTCGGGTCTTGACGTGAAACGACTCGAGAACGAACTTTATGGGCAGTACTCGAAAGACGAATGAAAACGTTCTCAACAATGTCGATAAGAACCTGTTCTGGTGTTTGGCTTCAGTTGGATTCAGTTGACGATTGGCATCCCCGGCATTTGTCTCCGTCGTTCGCACCAAGAAGGAAGTGGGGTTTTGCTGGGATCTTCATGTTCGGCCAGAGGTTCTAGCCCACAGCTGTCTGACAGCTCCTGACAGCTCACCTTAAAGCTTCGGCAGCTGGCACCCAGTATGGTAAGCTCCAAGCTTGAAGCTTTCGAGGGCAGCTCCCCACCACCACCAACCCTCACTCAGTCTCATTTTGAGCTTCGGTTTCCTAACCCACGATTGCTCAACAACTGTTTGAGCACCATGCCTTGATTGTCATTTGACATCTACAGCTTCATGTATTGAAGTCCCTTTTGAGAAATGAAAACCTTACCCCAGAGTGCCATCTTGTTGTGAAGCTCGACCGAGTGGATTCCCCTGCTTTCCTTGCACGTACCTGTTCCGTGTAGTGTGATGCACCCGGGATTGGTCACCTCTTCTCCGTTGTTTATCTCCCCTTTTACACCAAAACCCAACCCGTCCATCCTGGGTTGTTAGTGCCATGCTTTTAGCAGCCCCCCTTCGCGGATGCCGTCATGGGCGCCGCGCTTTTCTTCCTTTGAGTCTGCCTACGGTGGTAAAGGCAGCTTCCTCTCCTGCTGCCAACGCTTTCCCGCAGTTCAAGAGGTTCTACGCCGACCCAGCTCACGATGCAAAGGTCGAGGCAATCCGCAACATTGGCATTATTGCCCATGTTGATGCTGTAAGTCGTCATGGTGGTGTTTTCAAGCTTGACGTTCTGACATATTTTGCAGGGTAAAACCACCACAACTGAGCGAATGCTCTATTACAGTGGTTTGTCCAGACATCTAGGGAGTAAGCTAGCTCATACTTCATAATCGTTGTTCAGTGAGCAAGTCACTTACACTCCTCACAGATGTTCAAGATGGAAACACCATGACCGACTTCCTCCCCATGGAGCGGGAGCGTGGTATCACTATCCAGTCCGCAGCCGTCACCTTTCTCTGGCCCCCACAACAGAATCTGGCTCCCGGACAACACCCAAAGAGCATCAACTTGATTGATACGCCAGGCCATCAGGATTTCCGCTACGAGGTCGACCGTTGCTTGCCAATTCTTGATGGTGCTGTCTGCATCCTCGATGCAGTCAAGGGAGTTGAAACTCATACCGAGCGTGTCTGGGAGTCTGCTCAGCTGTCAAAGATCCCGAGACTTATCTTTGTTAACAAGCTCGACCGTGATGGTGCCTCCTTCAAAAGGTCATGCCTCGAGGTGGCTTCCAGACTGAGAACCTATCCCCTTATTTGCCAAATTCCGTGGTGGAATAAGGATGAGTTTGTTGGTGTCATCGACATCATCAACTTGGTCGGCATGAAGTTCTCCAGCACCGGCCAAATGTCACTTGTGAGTGAGGAGACCATTGGCAAGGAGAACCCGACTCTTCGCGCCGAGATGGACAAGGCACGTCTTGCTCTCATTGAGACTTTGTCTGAGTATGATGATGCTGTCATGGAGGAGTTCCTCGAGCTCGAAAAGGACGTGCCTACTGCCTCCATCAAGAGAGCCATTCGCAAACTGATCATGGATGGAGGAGCCAAGTTCTCCCCCATCCTCGCCGGCGCCTCTCTCAAAAACATTGGTGTGCAGCCATTGCTCGACGCTGTTATTGATTACCTACCCAGCCCTCTTGACAGGCCGGAGGTTGAGGTCATCCAGGGCAAGAAGGCGATGCCACTATCGAAGCTTCTTACTCTGCAGGACAAGAAGAAGAAGAACCATGGCCACCATGCTCACCCTCAGTCACCCATCACAACCATCGGCCACGTCTTCAAGGTCGTCGACGACCCCCGTCGCGGCATGATGAGCTTCGTCCGGGTTTATCACGGCGCTCTCAATCGCAGCAATCACCTCTACAACAGCAACATGAACTCCTTTGAGAAAGCCCAAGCGCTCCTTCACGTCTCCGCCAAAGACTACCAAGACATCCAACACCTCGGCACCGGCCAAATTGGCGCTCTAACCGGCCTGAAGCAAGCTCGCACCGGCGACACCCTGCTCACCTTCCCCGGCAGCCACAACCCCAAAGCCCCCGAGCAATTCCGAGCCGTCCATATCAAGACCCTCGACACCCCACCCGCCGTGGCCTTCATCGCCATCGAGCCGTACACCAAGACAGCCAGCGAGAAGATTGAAGAAGCCCTCGGCAAGCTCTCGCGCGAAGACCCTTCCATCCGGTGGAGCAAAGACGAAAAGACGGACCAGCTGATCCTCTCGGGCATGGGTCTCCTCCATCTTGAAATCGCCCAACACCGTCTCCTGACGCACTACAAGATCGACCGCGACACCGCCATCTGGGGCGACATCGAAGTCGAGTACTCCGAGTGCTTGCTCACCCCCGTCGCACCGCAACGAGCAGTCTTCGACCGTCCCATGCGCGGCGAGAACGGCAAAGCCGCCTGCACCGCCACCTTGGTTCCCGTCGAGGAGCACCACCGCCACGAATCGATCCTCGAGTCCTGCATCGAGCGCGACGGCAACATCATCCACATCGTGATCCCGCTCCCCGAAGGCACCGAGGACCACGAATCGCTTCCCTTCGACGCCGAGCTCGTCCGCCAACAACTTCTCAACGGCGTCATCGCCGGCCTGTCGCGCGGTCCGCGCCGTAACTGCCCTGTGCGCAAAACCCACGTCACCATCACCTTCGACCCGGAGACGGACTTCTTTGGCCCCACCCAGACCACCGGAGGGCACATCACCAACGCGGCTCTCCAAGCCGTGCGCGCCTGTCTGAAGGAGGCGCACGCCTCCGGTGGAATTGGCATTCTCGAACCCTTCACCAACGTAACCATCCACTGTCCCGAGGAAGCCTCGCACGCAATCCAGCACGACCTCGTTTCCGCACGGGGCGGTGCGGTGCTCGAGGTTCGTACACCGGAGGAGAGCGAGGCAGACGCGGCGTTTGTTAGTGAAGGAGGAGGCATCGACTTGAGCAAAGTCTATGTGCCGCCTGACCCGTACGAGAGCGTGCAGAGCTTGAGAGACCCCAAGAAGGCCGTGGTGCGCATGCTGGAGATTGTGGGCAAGGCGCCGCTGAAGGATATGATGAAGTATGATAGCGCGCTGAGGAGCATGACGGGCGGTAGGCACAGCTTGCAGCTGGATCCGGGCGAGTTCGAGCTGGTGACGGGGCCGAGGGAGAAGATGATTGGTTGAGTTTGTGGGAGAGGAGGTAAGGAGGAAGGGCTAGGTAGGGTTAGGTAGATGCTGGATGGTGTGCAGTGTAGAATATTTATTGATGTTCGTTGTACTTGTAAATGACTGTCGCTCTGATGTCTGCTTTGATCTCTCGGGTGTGATTCCTCTTTTTTTCTTTGTTTTTGTTTTCATGGAAATAAACGTACACGAACAGTCAACAAAATCGTGAGGATGGAATCTATCTCCCTAACTACTCGGAATCATAAGTAACTTCACTCTCCGTAGTCCATACGTCGAAGACGTTCATCAACCAGCTCCGTTGTCTCATTCCAAGTGACTCTTCAAAACCCTAACGCATTCTTGGAAGATTACTGAAACCTGCCAGGTTCCACAGGAGCTGGGTTTTGGCTTCTCACCAGACTTGGATTATTCGGTGTTCCGAACTTATGTGCCACTGTTAATCTATGAAGACATACCTCTTGATTTTCCGGGTGACCTCTCTATCTCTTTCTCTGTCTCTATTCTACCGCTGCATAACTGTCCCGTACTTAGGTAATCTCCCTGACCCGTCAAAGCTAGGGGCTGCCTGTCTGGTTGTATGGTAGTGGACTCTGCAGACCGGCCGCAAAACGTCTACTACGCTCCCCCCACGGTTTATCCTTACTTCCTTACTTATATAGTGCGAGAATCCCCCACAAGTTCCAATATTCTCTATGATGCGGCTCTGCCTCTTTCTAGTTACAATGAAACCAAAAAAAAAAAGGAAAAAAAGCGAGGGACGAGCCGCCATAACCGTCCTACCGTCCTGCCGTCCCCAGTGCGTTCCATTTCGGTATATTGCCGTTCCGAATTCCGTGGGGTGGAAGAACACGCATTTGTGCATATTGATTCAGTTGGGGGTACGTCGTGGGCTTGAGGCAATGTTTGTACGTTCTAGGGGTGAAGTGGAAAAAAAAGAACATTCGTCATCTGCCACCACGGCTCGCGATCTACTTAGCTGGCTTCTTCCAGCTGTTTTGAAAGTGTCGTAAGGTAATCCCAGGCAATACATACAGACAGATACTCTGTGTGTGTACATAGGCCTCAAAAGCTTGGTACGCGGTAACGTTAGGCGGTGGCTGAGGTTGTAATGGAAGTTGTACAGTAGTCTCCTCTGCCGGTTTCCATTTCTGCAACAATACCGGCAGCCGGATGAACATGAGCATGATCTGCGCAGTCACCGCCTCGCCTCTGTCTCGGGTATCTGTTTGTGATATGTAAGTCCTTATGCCAGATAGCCGGCCGTGGCAAACGGGGTAAGAACTGTAAAAATCGGGAAGGGGGGGGTTGACGTGAAAGGGGTAAGTCGTCGTGGATGAGTGACGACACTGACGAGGACAATTATCGTGAGAAGGGACCAGGCCGTCTGGTTATCCAACTTGGAGTGTTTCTTATCGGATGTCAAAAGGAGACAGTTGACCGGTTAAGTCACCGTTCCTAAGAGGGTTTGGTCAACATCAGTAACAGATGCCTTGAGAGAACTTGATACTAAGTATGAGAAAGGGGGAGACTCTGATGTACCCACGAACCTGGAAGCTGTCGTCCGAGGCCCGGCGACTTTTGGTCGTCGTAGTACTAGGAGATTCAAACATGGTCGGCACCTTGGCTGACCAGTTGAGCATGTTGGGCTGGTCTGCATTGTACCATAGCCACGCTCCGCCGGAGCGGTCTCAACTCACATATGGAAAAGGAGAGGAAGGTGAAGACATGTGTTACCTACGAGTAATAGATGCGTTTAATTAGCTACAACTGATCTCCTCAACCTGTAACGTGGCTCACCTAGTATCGGGCGAGATAACCAAGTATTGACTTTTAGCAACGAGAGACTCCTGAAAACGGATAAACCAAAGGCAAAGGAGAGAATGTGCTCAATTGGGAACTATATCCATATTTGGACAGTTGACTCGGATCAAAGCGCAAAGTTCGAAACATGACTTTCGTGTTGGCCCGATAGGGCCGATGACCCTCTGACTTCTGTTTCCTATTTGAGAAGCATCTCTAGATGATGATTGCAGGCTCCCAACGCTACATGGCAGCTTGCCATGTCCCGTGGGCCATACAACTAGAAATAAGGAGGCACTGTAACAGGTTGGTTTGGCTGACATACAACATAAGTGGTGGCAAGCCAAACTGTCAGCATAGATGGCTAGGATTGGTGATAGAGCCGAGAGAAGGAATGCCTCCAACATTAGCCGATAAGCCGATTTCTACGTCGATATTGTATCAGATAGAAACCGATCTTTGCTATGTGCTTTCCAAGTCGAATTCCGAGGTTCTGCAGGTCATGATGTGTGGCTTAGGAGTGTCGTCCAAGGTGGCATTCGGAAGTCTATACGTGTTCCACGGACCATATGCTTCCTTCCTACACACCCCAGATGGGATGGAGAGTTCAGTTGGCGATGGGTGTCTGCTTCGCATTGAAGCCGTAAGGATTCAAATTGTAGCACGGCGGTTGATTTGTTGAGCGAGCCGCCAGCCACGACCCGCAGTGTAGCTCAGGACCGAATGTTTCAAGTATTGCATACAGACATGTAGTATGGATTGGTCCCCGTCCAGCAAGAAGGATGCTTCCCGGTCTCACTCATCAGGGAGCTAGACACATACCCTGCTGGAACAGTATGTAAAAGACGAGGGCATGAAATTGGCTGCTGCAAACATGTCATGATCCGATAGGCAGAGGGAGGCAAGTTTGGTTGAACGGTGGTGTCTCCGAGGCGGTTGCTTTCTGTTCTTAAGTGAAGCGGCATCATGATAAGGCGAGCGGGAACGAGGTGACGCAACATGAACTCGTTGCTTTTTTAGATGGTCTATACAACATGCCGCGTCAAGTGGGCGTAATGGATGAACAACCTTATTTGGCCAGAACCATGGAAGTAGCCGTGTCCTGATAGGAACCACGGCAGCATTTCATGCTTGTCCGCGGCTGGGAAGAGATGATGCCAAACATGGAGCTGGAGATGGAGATGCCCCACTATTTCGTGGCGGCTCGCTCATAATGGGGAGTACCAGAGACCTCTGTATCGTCGTGTACACGTACGTGTAGGCACTAACCGTGGTCGAAACGGGCAAGACGGGGGACAGGCAGATAAAGTACACAAGGGCGCTGGTACCTGACAGCTTCAATATAAACACACTAAACTGGTGGGGTCAGGGGTTGAGCCCGTGTACAGTCGCGTCTGAAGCTCACTATCCATGCTGCAGGGAAGCCGAGAGAAATCGAGGAATTGGACCAATCACGATGGTGTTTCAAAGGCCATTTTGCGTCAACCTCTGCGAGAGATGTTGAGAGTCGTTGATATTGACACGTGGGTCGAACTTGGACGAACTGCTTAGTTTAGATCGGAGGGAGATTGAGAGCATGTGAAGTGATAGAACTTCCAAGCTCAGGAATCATGGCGTTGTGCTCGCCGCTGTCGGATGTCGAGATAGCCAGGAAGCATGACGCTGTCTGAGGATGCTGTCCGTGGGTGTCACGACTTCTCGGGGAGTCATGGCTGGTTCCGCCGGCGGCTTGTGCTTCACTCCAGGGCATATGCCTTCGTTATCTTTCACAAGACAGCGGAATCGGCCTCGTTTAGCAGCGGTGCATGATTGCATCTGACTGCCGTCCAGCAGTTGCCGGAAAAGGAGGCGTTATTCGGGCGCCTCACCCGCTGCATTAGGGCCACAGAGTAGCATCTTGCAATTTGCCATTGTCTGTGCGAATATCGATGACCATGTGGTGCGCAGTAGGGCAAGCCTGACCAGATCAATGTGTCATTCAAGTGCAGTGGTAAATTGCAAGGACGGAGGAAATGTTCATGTTCTCTGAGACTTGAGAAGGAGCAACGGCCTGGGGGGGGGGGGAAAGACGCAAGAGAGGTTCACCAGGGAAAGAAGTGGTTCCTTCCCATCTGATTATCACGGCCTGTGGGGTCACAATCTGGAGCATACTCAACGTTGATTGGCTGGTTGTTGCAACTGTCAGTTAAGCAACCGTCCCTCCATCATTCCCTTCTTTCCTTTCCTCTTTCCATCAACTTTCACTCCATTGACAATTCATCTTCCCATGTTGATTCGGATTGTGCTACCCTTCCATCCCGTGCACTTTTATGTTCTTCTTCCCATTCTCCATGCTCCACGATCCTCGATCGCGATGACAAGGCCACGTCCCATTGTCAACTCGCACACCATCCTCCAAATCATGGGTCAACGGGTAGATTCCGGATCAGCCACCAACCCGACACCACCAACTCCAACCAGTCCTCCACGACATGGCTGCATCTCGTATATCACTTTTCTCATCAACCACATTGCTGGCCGTGCCGCACTATGTGAGTGATATATGCGTTATCACAACATGGGTTCCTTTGTGTTCTGGCCTGACAGCGCATTACCTTACCCTTAATGGACCCAGTGGCTCTCCCAGTGGCTCTCCAAGTTACACCGAATCATATGCAGCGCTACCACATTCACAACGACATACCATACTCCCGCAACATGTGGAATCAAATGCCTTCTCGATATTGCTGTTTACCTACTACTATCTGCGTCTGTTGACACACAGTGTATCCAGGAATGCCGTCTTTTATCGCCCGACCCCCTGTCTGTCTTTTTCCATGCTTGGGGGGGTCCTGTCCGAGTTCAGGAATACGCCGAGTTGACGCTACCAACGGTCGAGACAGGCCCCCCTGCTTTGATTGCTTCGCTCAGGCATGTCGACTGCTACCAATGGACCCCTATACGGCCGAGCTGGGCGTAGGCGGAACAACACTCCAACATGCCGCCGTTTCCTTGCCATATTAGCTTGGCTCAACGGCTTCAGTTGCTTGCCATCCCGAGGAGATTTGTCAGTGCTCTTCTCCTCTGGCTATGGTATCCTCTGCTGCTACCTGACGCATATAGCTGCAACATGGGTCATGGCATAGTCAAACCTTCCACAATGGCCGCGGTAGCCATCCCATCCGGCCCGTACAGGCATGCTTCCACAACCATGTGTATAACGCCTCGTACCTAGCTACAAGTATCATTTCTCGGCATGTCAAAGCTTCGGCTATTGCTTGTGCTACTACGTACGCATGTACCTTGAGCCCATGATCTTCTCCGGTTCCGGATAAGCTGTTACCTCAATATTGCCCTTTCGACGTCAACAAGCATACATGATAGCTTCCCGAGCAAAGTTGTGCAGTTGCTGGTCTCCTTGCATGCTCTTCCCGAGATTAGGGAGTTGTTGGACTGCCTTGAGCGCATGTCTTTTTGACCTTTTCCCAGACATCGAGAGATAACCGCCAGATCTCTTACTGGTGAGCTTGTTCGAGTCTGTGCTAAGGAGCCATTGTTGTTCAGACGCCTTCCATGCCATCCTACTCTGTGGCTGTCACTAATCCATGCTTTCTGGACCCTGGATGGAGCCATCCTAATTCGACCATGGAAATAGTTGACTGAGGCACGTCACCAAAGAAGGACACATCATATACCGCGATGGTCCAAGAAATTAATATACTTAGGGGTGGGGGTTCTTTGTGAGTTCTGGCCTTCTCTTTTGATCATCATCCAAGTTGCCATCATCGAACTCCTGTTACATTCTTCAAGCACGTGCATTTGTTTGGCCTGGACTTTCTCGAATCTTGCCAAATACTTTCCCTCTACTTTTGCCTCTTTCAGTGAACAGGGGTAACATCATTCCGCCTCCACAAGGGCCTAGCCATCTATCTCCGAGTTCTCGATCTCCCCTTTGGTCTTCTTCCCCTGTGGTTGCCACGATCAAAGACATTTTGGACAGCCAATAAATTCTTTCTAACTTTCAACCGAGCTCCTCATATATCCCAGACCCACGGTCACTTGGACACCCACTGTCCCAACTCTCTCGAACTACACAACGGTCTATTTTTTGAGCCTCATCAAGCCAAGCCATATAATCACACCTCTTCATCCCACTCTTATCCCACGTCCTTGTTGTCATCTCACCCAATATGGCTCCCTCTGCAGCATGTGAGCACGCACCGATGCACCTACCCGTCCTGTCCAAGGCCTCATCCATCAATGCGTCCGTCTTGCATGGCCCGCGGGATCTGCGATTGGTAAGTTTCTCATCCCCTTGTTCCTGGATGTAGTTGGGAGCGTTACACAATAAAGGGAGGTAGCAATCCTGGTATCTGTAATCTTCACTCTACAACGCTCATTCGGTTCTCTTGTCTTGTGACACAAAGATCTGACACAGGTATTGTGAATGTAGGAAAGACGAACCATTGAAGAACCTGGACTTGGTGAGCTTCAAATTGTCGTCATGACGACAGGTATTTGCGGCTCCGATGTCTCATACTACAAGAAATTTGCCAATGGCGACCTTTGCGCCTGCATGCCCCTCTCACTTGGTCATGAGTCCTCCGGTGTTGTCGCTGCCTTAGGGCCCCAGGTCTCGGGCTTTAGCATTGGTGACAGGGTAGCCCTTGAAGTTGGTGTGGCATGCGGCCAATGCACAATCTGTCGTAAGGGTCGCTATAATCTTTGCAAAAATATGAGATTCAGGAGTAGTGCCAAATCGGTCCCTCACTACCAAGGTACCCTCCAAGAGAGGATCAATCACCCGGCCATCTGGTGTCACAAGTAAGCCCACTCAAGAGTTTCTGGTATCAATGCTTTACTGACAACTCCGCAGGCTCCCTGATAACATTTCTTTTGATGCAGCAGCCCTGCTCGAACCTCTTTCAGTTGGGATACATGCGGTCAACCGAGCGAGTCCCACTCCTGGCTCTACGGCTTTGGTACTCGGAGCCGGCACTGTCGGGCTACTCACCGCAGCCATGGCCCGTCAAGCAGGTTGCACACAGGTGACAATCACTGATGTGGACCAAGGCCGCGTCGACTACGCCATCTCCAAGGGGTTCGCAACCCACGGCTACGTCGTTCCACGACCGCTTCACACCTCTTCCAGCAGCTCCTCAATATTCACCAACAGCAGCAGCAGCTCCGGCTCATCCACCCCATTAGATGGCATTGTCACACCATCCAGCACGCTTCCTTTCCGCAGCTCGCTTGACTCCGCCAAAGCTCTTGCCGCCGACATGCTAGCCCTTACCCAGAACCCTATCCTCGACAGTGATGACGAAGACATTGGAGTCGACATCACCTTTGAGTGCACCGGCAAGGAAGTATGCATGCACACAGCTCTGTATGCGACCCGGCCAGGAGGCAAAGTCATTATGGTCGGCATGGGGACCCCCATCCAGACACTGCCGTTGTCGGTTGCCCATTTGCGTGAGATCGACATTCTCGGTATCTTCCGCTACGCGAACACCTATGCTACCGGCATCCGCATGCTGTGTAACCAGGGCAAATCCGGTGCTGGATTATTCACTCTACCGAGCCTGGATGACATGGTTACCCACCGGTTTAAAGGGCTGGAGAACGCCAAGGGAGCGTTTGAACTGGCTAGTCGGACGAGTGATGGCCAAGGAAACTTGGTGCTTAAGGTTGTTATTGAGGCTTAGCACGCCACTCCATTTCATATTTTGTTACCATTCTAGTCTAGGTTTTGCTTTGATACGATAGATGGATGTTCTTCTTGACTCTGATATGTACGGCTGAACGGACTTATGAAGAGCTACAATACCCCCTACTATTTTCGGTTTTTTTTAAGTGTGTTTTATGTATATAAAGCTCTCTTCTCTTTTCTTTTCTTTTCTTCCTCGGGGTTTATGTTCTAGTAAAATACACCTTGTTCACCGAACGAATGATAATACACCTCCAGTAATAATGCAATGTTCATATTTGGTCTGGTGAAAAATGGCAGCAAGGGAAGACACTCAAAGACAATGCGGTATTCAACTAGTTATCCAGACACTATGATAGGCAGCCGAGAACAAGCCCGAGAGAGCTGGACTTGGTTCGACTGTAAGCAAGTATCAAGACCATCCAAACCATCCAGGCCATCCAAGCCATCCATCCGTCTACAAAAAAGGCATTGCTCCAAACACCCACCACCACCACGACCCCCAACTTTGCGCCACAAAAACCAAGTACATACAGGAATAGATAGATCCCTGAAGCTGACTGCACCACCAAAATCTCTAAGGTTTAAAAAACATTACAATACTTTGTGCGAACATGAAACCCAACACTTCATCTCTATCCTGCCGGTACACATATACAAAATGCTGCCTGCCGAAATTAATTTCTCTCGGGCGTCTCCTCATCCTGCTTCTGACCAGAGAAAATCACACTAGGTAACGAAGCAGGCGTAGACGGCGCCGGAGACTCAGACCCGGCAGGCTGCTGCTGCTGCAATTGCTCCAAAGTGGAAGTCTTTTGAGGCGAAAAGGGAATTGCTGAAGTGGCCGTGAACACAGGAACGTCCTTCCTGTTCATAGCAGCAGTTCCGGGACTAGTTGGTGTTTGCGCTGACTTGGCAGTAGCAGTAGAGTTGGTAGTGGTAATGGTAGTGGGTGGTTGGTACTGGATGAAATTCTCCTGATGGCCTGTTGGGTTTCGAGCAGGCTGGAAAGGCCGCGTCGGCAAAGGGAAGGATGTACGGCCTGGCATGGGCGTGGAAGTGAGGGCTGGTGTTTCGAGGTCTTCCATGTCGATGTCGCCGTCTCCGTCCACTTCTTGGACTTGATGGTGCTGGTGGTGGTGGGCAAATAGCTCGGGGTACTTCTCCGTGGCGTCCATGTCTTCGGAGGAGGAGACGGAATTCCGGCCTTGTGAGTTGGGGGTGTAGAACTGGGTGGATGGTGCGGGGGAGCTGTTGGTGTTGCTTTCGGTGGGCGAGTGGAGCGTGGCGGCAACGGGTGTCTGTGTGGGCTGTTGTTGGTGGTGAGGTTTGTTTTCATCGAGGTTGGAGGTTACGACGGATATCGCATCATTGTTGGCGGTGGAAAAGTTTTCTTTCGCGGCGCGCTCCCGCTCGCGAGCCTCTTTCTGGGCTTGTGTGATAAGAGTGATCTTAACCTTCTTCATCCCGCCAGTCAAGTTATCCACGCCGTCGCCATTGCTGCCGTTCGATGGCTGAGTCTCGCCGGAGTGAGAGGCTGGAGTTGGTGATACTAAGGATGCGTTGGAGCTCCTTGCTGACTCGATGGTCGATGTTGAAGTCTTCCTCTGTATCTTTGGTGCCTGCAGAGCATACTTGTTCTTTGCTGGTCCCCGCGTTTTCTTGACCGCAAGAGCATTTCCTTGCGGTCTAACGCTCATTGAAGACTCAGGCCTAATGCTCATGGATGTTTCCGGTCTTCCGTCGTCTCCCGCATTCATGGTTGAGTATCTGTGGCTTGGAGGAGATGAGTCAACACTGTCTGGGACGATGGTCGATGCAGCACTAAGGCGTCGACTACGTGCAGCACGAGCACCTCCACGAGGCACACCGGTTTCTCCTACGGACACAGCAATTGCCCGATCGTCGTCGGTATCCTCCTCCTTGATAGGCATTGCTTGCTTGGTTTTACGCTCCCTCAAGGTCATCCTAGTAGAAGGCCGGTCCGAAGCATTTGCAGTGCCGGCATCGGAAGACGAGGTATTCGCGTGGGTTAACTGACGCTCCCGGCGAGCCTTGGTGGCCTCGGCATTGAGATCTGTGTGAGTACAGCTGTCTGTCTGGCGGTCGCTCGGAATAAGAAGCTTGCTCAATTCACAGGCTGCGATAGCCCAAGAGACTTCTGGAGCAGGGGTCGTCGGTATTCTCGACGGTATTGGTGACAATGGCCTGTTGGCTGCCATGAGTGCGTGCTGATGAAGTCCGGACATACTTCTCCGTGGCGCTACAGACCGCGCTGTAGAGGCATGTGTAGGTGAACAGTAGGTAGGTGGTGTAACATTCCTAGGGGGCTTGGGTGGTTCAGGCGGAGGAGTCATCAAAGTGGTCTCCAGACGTTCAAGCTCGGCAGCAGACCACCATGAAGCTTTGTACTGATCATGAACCTGACCATTTCCAGTAGCACTGGCTCCAGCAAGGCCGCAAACGTGGCTCATGATGCCAGAGCAAAGTGCGCGATCACTATAACCTCCCTCCAGCACGCTGATAACTCGGCCTTCTACGGCTGTGCCCACTTCTGCTGCTATACGTACTACATCTCGAGTCAATCGAGCATAGAACTCTGTCGGAACATTAACCTTGTGTCTCTGCATTCCGGAACCCTCCCATTCGCTGGCATCGAAACCAGCAGAGAGAAAGATGGCTGCCTTTGCGTTTTGGCCTGCTGCTCGCAAGCGTTCCGCCTGTGTGACCAGATAGCTGCGCGCCTTTTCAAGCAAGGTGGTATACTTGGTCTCGTACAGCGCCCAGAACTCATCTTCTGTCTTCCAGGGCTGTAGGTGAACATTCCAGACGTTTTGGCCATGTGCATTGTCGATACAAATGCTTGCATTCATAACCTTTTCGTCGTCGCCGGTCTCGCACGGATACGAGTTGATATCGTGAAGACTGAAGTACCCGATCGATGTCTTCTTCCATGCCGCCGCGTTCTTTGTAGCCTTTACACCCCTTGAGTTGTGCTGCCAAGCGATTTGCTGGGAGCCGTCGCCATGATGGAGGTCAAAGTCGATAATGGCGGCATGGGTCAAGCCATGGCTCAGAATTGCATGCATAATGCCAACATGGACATTGTTGACCCAGCAAAAGCCGGAGGGATATGATGCAGAACAGTGATGACCAGGCGGTCGAATGGCTACAAAAGCCCTTTTCGGGCCCTCGGGCCTGAAGACTGCATCGACTGCTTCACAGACGCCTCCCATTGCTCCCTCCATAGCCTCCAGTGACTCGGCACAAAGATAGAGGTCGCCTTCATGGAACTTTGCAGGTTCTTCCGCATTGGGTCCACGATCCATGTCCGGGCGTATGAGTTCTTTCCCATTCGTCGCCAACTTGGCTTCCGCGGTATCGCACATGGTCTTGAGCTCCTCCATCCATTTCGTACCATGTACGTTGGTTACTGTCTGAGATGTGATGGGCAGTCGCCGAGTCGTCTTCTGTATTACAAATGGTACCGATGGCAGTTTCTTAGGATCTTGGTCCGGATGGATCGGGAAAGAGCCGTCATGATGCCTCTCGCCCAGACGTACATAGGCAGCCGACACTCCCAAGACGCTGGCTTTGATTCTCTCGGGTCGTTCGACAATCGTGCTCAAGTTCGCCTTGGATGTCCGCGGGCGAGAGTAGCGATGTCCATAGCATGCGTCGTTCAAAATAACGACTGTCTCAGCCGGCAGGCTCGGTTCTTCCCCGTGATGGATCTCAAGTTCAGCCTTGAAGTGGTCACTAGCGATAGACTGCGGGGTCGGCGGTACTTTGAACTCGGACGTCTCGGGGTACATATCGTTTAGGGGTGGCTTTTTTGCGGCCGACTGGGTGAGGTTGACAGAAGAGGAGCGACGTGAGAGTGATGGGCCTTGGCCGTGGTTGTTGTGGGCGACCTGGATCGAGTTCATGGAGGCTTTTCGGCGGAGTGCTGGGGTTTGTGAGCGAGACGGAGCCCCGCTGTAGGATACGTTCCGCATAGCACTACCGGGGCGGGATGTCGTTCCGTTTGGCGATACAGCACTCGGAGTCGGAGACGAAAACTGGGGCCGCAGGGGACTGATGGCAGGTGGCGGCGGGTGGTTGGCAGTACGAGGACTCTTTCTGGGAGAAGGAGATTGTGAAGTCGCGGAGGACGGGGACGCCAGAGAAATGGAGAGGTGATTCAAGGATTGTGTTAAATCACCCTCTGCATTATTCTTATTAAGCTGCCCTTTGCTTGCCGTTCGTGATAACCGTCTTTGTTGCAAAGTTGATACTGAGGGTGGAGTCGCATGTGCATCTGATCCAGCACCTGCTGGCACACCGGAAGCTCTCCTGGGATTAGTGGTGGAAGATCGAGAGGATGCCACGGACGCAGAAGACGACGGCCTGTTGTGGAACGCGGCGGAGGAGGACGAAGCCATTGTCATTGTACCGGTGGTCACGGTACCGTCAGCGTTATCTGGAGGGGTTGGTTTCTCTTGGGTCCAAGTTGGGATGAAAGCTGCTTCCTGCACTGCACAAGCACCTGCCTCAAGCAAGGTGCAGGTACTGTGATTCAGTGAAGATAATGGATAACAATCAACAACCGATACAATGTTTCGGTGGTTCTTTGGAGGGTAAACGGAATTAAAGAATTAGGAGCTGGTGGTCACAGTGATGGAAACCTCAAGGGAGAGCTCTGTAGAATTTCTAAAACAAAAACAAGAAAGATTCCAATGAGAGAGGCGTATAGGGTAGGGTATATCGACTTTGGTGCTATCGCAGAAGTGAGATATTAGAGATGGTAGAAGAAAAAGGAGACAAAAAGATACAACAAAAAGACAGTAATTCGATAAACAATCCCGCGGCAATGGAAGACTCAGAGACAGCTGAGGACAAAAATATCAAATCATCATTTGTCCCGGAAGTGATGGAGACATGGGGACAACGGGGACCTCTCGTAGTCCAGAGCTTCGGGTTCTCCAGAGCAACTTTGATGAACCGGAGCGAGCGTAATCTCCCATCTCATCTCGGCCTTTGGGGTCCTGGTTCCTTGATGTGCCTCGCTTCTCCTTGTTGGTCTGGGCGTTAAGTTGGGTCACTTGGGTGAGGGTGTGTAAGTGGCGCGCTAACGCGTCGGACGTCATAGCTGAGAACTGAAGGGGGTCAATTTAAGTGCTTGCAGCTCAGCTCCTGAGCTAAAGCTTGTTCCTTGCTCTAGTAGCTGCACGTGACTTGAGAGATAAGATAAGAGCAACAACGAGAACATGGAATCTTGTGGGGCTTCTGGTGCCTGTCCGGTGGACCGTTCGTGCACGTGCCGCTCCCGCTCAAGGAGTGAACGAGTGGACATTTTCAAATCGTGCCCCTGCCTGCTTGGCGCCTTTGCTTTTTCAAACAACATGGTAACATTTCATATGCCGCTTGCCGCGCGCTTGTTGTGCAAGTGTGGATGCCCTCTTGCTTTTCGAACCTAACACCAAACCCCATTCCGTCAGACACTTGTCATGGTTCAGTTCTCAGCATTTTCCTTCCCTATTTTCCTAAACTGCACAAGTTCTTTCTTTTCGCAATCCATTCCGAAACGGGATGGGATGTTAAACAAAGAACCTACCCACTACCGATCCGGAAGCTTGAGCAACCAACAAGACAACTAATGGAGCCACGACAGCGTGCAGCGTCTTCTAAACACTGTTTGCCTTGGACATATTAGAGGTGTGGTGTCATCCATTTAGCCTGCACAAGTTGACTGACGATGCCAGACGACAGCGGGAATGCCTTCAGATTCACTCAAGACAACTCGAAGTGCACAAATCAACCTCATGGCTGTTTTCTGGAGATGACGGCTCGATTCTGCTCAGCGGGACTTTGTCGTTGCCCAATGATTTCAATTCCATATTTAGGCCAAGTCGGCCTGCTTTCCGAACCTTAAAACGTTCCTCAACACGAGTGTGACGGTCCGATTCAGCCCCAGTTCCGTTGTGGTGCATACGAGATGCCACTTGGGCAACATTGCATGACAGCCAATGATGACAGCCCAGGCGTTTTTCCCTTTTGAGAGACCTTCGCGAGCTTACAAGTATCTCGTCACACTTTTACGATTGAAGTCACGACAGACGGGATGCGGTCTATGTGTGATGTTAGAGTGATGGCAGGAGTTACCTTCGTTGTGCACTCAACCACAGCTCTCTACTATTCTTCTTTTCCCATGGATGAGCTATTCTCTTCAGTGAATCTGGATCTCTCCAAAGGCTCAAAAAGTCTCAATTCATCGACTCAGCCGCAGGTCTTATTTGTTCTCGATCCTTGCTCCACGGCAGACACTCCCGCATTAGACTTAGCGCCACATCTAATAGTCTAGCTATCTCTGGGCAGATCCCAGGGTCCTGGGTCCCGATCAGGTCTGGTCCCGGTGTCAGCATGGCCCAGCCGGCCTGTTGGTCTGCAATGTCTGGTGCCTCGAAGTGGTCCAGCCCTGTCATTACATTCAGTGTAAGCGCTAGAGGAATGATGTCGAAAGTTATATCACCGCCATGGCCCCTTCACTTCATCTTTCTTTCTGTTTTGTCTTTCTTGGTTCCTGTGGTGTTAGCCTGTCGTGTCAGTGTACATTACCTATTCCAGGACCTTCTCAATCACGGTGGTGACAGTATCCCAAACCCGAAAAGAGACGATCCCGAACAATGCCTCTCAAGTACCTTTCGCCTCTTCTTCTGGCCGGTAGTGCCACGGCCTTCGAGTTTTACGGCCTTGGTCTCAAAGCCCTCGCGGCGAACAATGCGGTCAATGCGGCCGCATCAACAGATGCCGGATACAAAGCCTGTAACTCGGTCAGCTCCGTGGTGATGTCCTGCTCCGCCGCCGGATCTATCGCCGAAAGCGTCCCCGAGGCGTCCCAGGCGGCCTGTGTCTGCTGCCAGGGCAACAGTGAGCTGGACCCGGTGTACTCGAACTGCGCCGCCTATGTCAGCACTGCTCTTCAAAACCCATCCTTGGCTTCAGGTATGACGAATCCCTCCCTCCCTCCTCATGGGCCTGCAGAAAAAGAAAAGGTTCTGTATCCTAACACCTTTCTCTCTCAGTATACGGAGCCGTATACACCGTCTGCGCCAGCTACGAGTGCGGAGCTGCAGCCGCGCCATCAACAACTAAGCCGCCATCTGCTGCGGCTACTACCTCCCGCGCCACCATTACCTCCGCCCCCGTGATTCCCACAGCATGCTCTTCCGTCGTTTCCATCGCCAGCCGCTGCGCCGGCGACGACGAGGACGAGGTCGTCTCCTGCTTGTGCCACGACACCTCGGGCAAGACCAACACCCAGGTTCAGAACTGGGCTAGCAGCTGTCTTCCCTGGGCCAAGTCGAACTCTCCTGAGGATGTAACAGGTATGTCACTAACCGACCACTCCCCGTACCCACACCAGTCACTCTTACTAACCAATTTTATCAGTGGTCGAAGTCCTCGAAACCATCTGCGCCGCCGGCGCCGGCGCCGGTTCCTCTCTCTCCGTCAAAGCCACCCAGAGCTCTGGCGGCGACGACGAATCAAGTCTTACCAACCGCCCCGCTTTCGGTCTGCCCACCGGCACTGCGAGCAGCAGCGATGTTGATGATGACGTGACGACTGCCGTCACTCAGACGAGGATCGTGGAGACGGAGGCGCCGGCTGTTTCGTCGAGCAGGTCCAGCGCGGCGGGCGCCATGATGGTTCAGCAGCCGTTGGGAGGGGTGGCTGCGTGGGTTGTTAATGGGTTGGTTGCTGTTGCTGGGTATTTGGTCGTTTAAGGGGAAGGTCACTAGGAGGAATGGCCGGTTGGGTTGGGTTGTTTTAAGAAGGTTATGGTCCGGCCAAAAGAAAGAAAGCGATATGTGAATAATGATAATGAGTTTTGGGAATTTAGTAACGGCCAGGCCAAATGGTGATAGGGAGTGGGAGGAGTTCATGTTGAGCTTCTTGCGAAAGAAATTGGCGTTGGAGTCGGTTTGGATACTACAAAGAGGAACTGAAAACAATTCCATATGTGATATTGACCCAAATGACTGGCTTGGACATGATCTTCAGCAAGGGACATGTGGTAACAACACTTACCTCTGCGCAAAGGGACCTGGATATATCTTGCTGATCTGAGCGTTCAATACATGCAGCATCGTATCGGGAAGCAAAATGTCAGTCAGATTGTTGCATGCTCTGCTCCGTTCGGTACGGTAGGTACCTACGAGTCCCGCCTTCCAACTTTCATCCCATCCCGTCTCCCATCTCTGCCCTTCATCTTCACCCAGCCACCACACCCGCTGGACCACCTCGTATAAGGTCCGGCACCGAGCCCTTAATTCCAGAGCGGTCCGTCAATTGGCCAAATGACCGAGCGGTTCCGTTCATGAAATCATTGCCGGGTGCGCGGGTATCCCGTGGTACAGTTTTCGTAGGTTTTCGCAGCTGGAGGGAGCATGGTGGTTCGGTCCCCCTAAGTCTCACTGGCTTATTTTTTCAAGCGAGACTTATCAAATGAATGTCTTGACTGTTTTGTTTGTTGACCAGAAAGGTGCTTGGTTCTGTTCGCAAGTGACGAATGAGGCGACTGTGAGAATAAGCAGCAACGTTCCCGTCCTTTTCTCCGTGCACATTGTATTTTCCATGGGTCTTGCGGCTCCGTGCGATTAGGGATAAGACCAAGATTCAATGCCAGTGACTTCAATTGCACGAGGCTTGGTATAAATGCAGTTCGAAAATGTATGTCCTTTCTAGGCGGGAACCTTTCACTTGTGGAGGCTTGCGAAGTTCGAACATCGAGAAATTAAAGAAAATTAACCATTAAGACATTGTGTCCCGTACGCCAGCTAATGTTAACCTCCATGAGTTCGCCAAAGAACTCTCCTAAATCACCGCTTTTGATCGCTACCCATATAATTTTAACCATTTAGAACCAATAACTTGCTCTCCGTCTCTTTCCTATTCCCCAATCACACACAAGACACAAACGACGAAGTATGACTCTGCCATGGGGCCTGATGAGGACTGTGATGATGATGAACCTTGGTCTTCGGTATCAGCGCCAGCTCATCCCCGCCTTTTCGCCCTGCCGGTGCATGATCCAGACAGCAATCAAAATGCTGTTGTTCCTGAGCTCCATGATCGTTTCTGTTTCCACCACCACTCTCCTCCTCAAACCGTGTAGTAACTCCCACCCCGACCTCGTGGGTGAACGAAGCGCTTACGTTTTCCATGAGTCGCATGATTTCTTCCTTGCTTTCGGTGGGGTCGATGAATTCGATTTGGTCTTCCTCATCTTCCTCTTCCTCCACTTCTTCCACTGCTGTGTGGCCCAGTATTGTCGTCGTCGTAGAAGTGGTGGTGGTGGTGGCGTTATCCAAAATCAAAAACGCTCTCTCCAAGTTGGGAAAGCTCCTGATCAGACAGAACTTGCTGTACGTCTCCCATGGTCTCCTAATCTCCGGTCTGACATGATCGATCGCCAGGTTCTTGACCAGCTCCGTGGTGTTGAGGACGTACTGGCCAAAATCCCGGGCCGTCTCGCTGTAGCCCATGGACATGATCCTCCTCTGCCTGTCCTTCTGTTCTTGTTCGAGTCCACGTCCTCCTTTCTGGTGGTGATGAAAGTCCTCTTCCTCTTCGTAATACCGCGGTATGTAAAGGATGTCTAGTTCGGGAGCAAAGTAGATGGATCCAGAAGGGTGAGTGCGCGTCCCGAAAGCTTTGGCGTAGATGCGCGAGAGCGCTTCGTGGCGGGATTCTCGGCAGACGGAGAGGATGACGGGCGGCTTGGAGGGGGTGAAGCATCGGTCTTGGGAGGGGCAGTAATGGATTTCGAGGATGCGAGGGTGGCAGGAGGCTTGCCAGATTGCGAGGCGGAGCTCGGTGGGGAGGAATGGGAAGAGGGTGAAGGCCCTTGGGGCAGTGGTGGGAGCGGTTTCGTCCATGGTGAGTGTATTGTGACTCAGGTCGGACATGAGGTTTGTTTGCTTGTCTGTTTCGAGCCTTATTGCATCACTGAGTGGTATGGTACAGTATGGCGAGGCTTGTGGTCGTGATATGGAGGAAGTGGTAAAGAGAAAGGAGACCTCGAGAAGAAAAATGGAAGAAGGAGGCGGAAGGTAAAGTAGAAGTGAGCAGCGTCAACCCAGGCAAGATATATGACCACGGGACTCGAAACCTAAACCTGACAACATACTATTCGACCGAAACAAAACCTTTTGCGTTCTAGAATAAGGTTTTTGTGGGGATTGTGTCCGGGGTATTCTCGTCACAACTGTTTAGTGCTTGAGTCAATGGATATCGCCAGGGTTGGTCATGGACGCAGCCGAGGCCGGAGTGATGAAGGAGCGAGCAATGAGACGGGCAGTCCGGGCCCAGACGACAATGGGCGTTTGGCTATTATAGACCGTTTCATTGTCATCTCGTTTGGCTATGCTATGCCACGGCCAATTCGGTTGAACGAGCTGAGGCCCTGCGCTGTGACGGTGAGGACGGCCCAACCAGCAATGGATGTTCACTGACTGTGACTTTGTTGCTCCTTCGATGACCTCAGGTCCATGTGTAAACCAACGGAAACGGTAACGCGCCGCACTGATCAGCGTTGAGACACATCATCGCCGCCCATGGCTGGCCAACTAGCCAACTCGGATTTGCCAGGGGCTGCTCTCCCGACTTTGACCATCTTTGTCTTTGCCCAAACTGTTGGCTTACATGAGATGAACGAAGTACTCTTCTCACTTATCTCGGTCATTCGGCATGAAGATATCCTGCCATGCGTCTGTGTCCCTACAATGCAACCGTGGCAGGGGAACAGTTAGACCCGGCCGTGGATCGGAATTGCATCTTTGCGTCGAGTCTAGCGCACACATGGGAATGCGAGATGTGAAGCGCTTTGTGCATTGGGAGAAAAATTCAGCAAAAAGTTGGCATGTGCATGGCCAAAAAGACTCCAAAGTCGTATGACAGTTGAGAATGCCAAGAAACGGCCGTTGTCTGATGTCGTAAACAAAAAGTCCAGGGGCTTCAAAGTTCCACTTTTGATTTATCGCAAAATCGGAAAGTAGGCCACCCTTCAGCAGCGCGGAACGATACCTGGGTGGGCAGGCCTGAACCCTGAAGACAAGGCGGGTTGGCGGGGAACGTCGATCCATGCCCAAACTCGACTTGTCAAGGGGTGGGGTCGGGCCATTGGTCCCATGTTTTTTTCTCCAATTCGATGCGCATGCAAGGCTCCAACAGTTCTCTGCATCCATCCACGGACCTCGTGAGGGACCTGAGCTGCAGCCTGCTTGTGCCTTTTTGACCTCCTCCTCGCTGCGGAGAATGTCGATTGTTCAAAGGATGGCTTCAAACAAGGCTTCCTCGGCTGCGCTCACCTTTGAGCTGGTCGCCAAATGCTCCGTAAGTGGAAGTACGAGTCTGTTGTTCTGGAACCCGAAGCCTGGGAATATGAAGGTCTCCATACGGCTGGATACTATCAAGTCCTGTCCGTATAAGTGGGATCTCCGCAACGGATGTCTGTTACTAACCTCAACACATACTATGGAACTAGACAACAAGGGCCCGCGCTTCCATCTTGACTCTTCCCCATGGACCCGTCAACCTCCCCATCTTCATGCCCGTGGCTACTCAGGCCTCTCTGAAGGGCATCACCCCGGAGCAACTTGAGAGCACAGGATGCCGCCTTTGTCTCAACAATACCTACCATCTAGGATTGAAGCCTGGTCAGGAGGTTCTCGATGCTGTTGGCGGCGCTCACAAACTCCAGGGCTGGAAGCACAACCTGTTGACCGACAGTGGAGGGTATGCATGCGCCTTGTTGTAACCAGTGGTTTAAGTGCCGACGCCTTGCTAACTTGACTTTCTCGTTCAGTTTCCAAATGGTATCTCTCCTTAAGCTCGCAAAGGTCACCGAAGAAGGAGTTCGATTCCTCTCTCCCCACGATGGGTCGCCCATGCTCCTCACCCCCGAACACTCAATGAGCCTTCAAAACTCGATTGGATCCGACATTATGATGCAGCTTGACGACGTCTTGGTGACCACTCACCCGGACAAGGCCCGTATGCGTGAGGCCATGGAGCGCAGTGTACGCTGGCTGGACCGCTGCATCAAGGCTCACAAGAATCCCGACCGCCAAAATCTGTTTTGCATCATCCAGGGTGGTTTGGACTTGGAGATGCGCAGGGAGTGCTGCCGTGAAATGGTGGCCCGCGACACCCCAGGCATTGCCATCGGAGGTCTCAGTGGTGGTGAGGCCAAGGACGATTTCTGCAAGGTCGTGGCCGCATGCACAGAGCTTCTTCCCGAGTTGAAGCCTCGCTATGTCATGGGTATTGGCTACCCTGAAGACCTGGTCGTCAGCACTGCTTTGGGAGCCGATATGTTCGACTGCGTCTGGCCTACACGTACGGCGCGGTTCGGCAATGCCATCACGAAGCACGGTGTGCTCAACATGAAGAAGGAACAGTATGCCAAAGACTTTGGACCGATCGAGGACGGCTGCGGGTGCCCATGCTGCAGGCCTGTCGACCAAGAGGGAGCCATCGGCGTCACAAGGGCGTTTGTGCATCATAATTCGGCCAAGGAAACGGTGGCAGCACACCTGCTGACCATTCACAACGTGTGGTATCAGCTGCATCTCATGGGAGGTGCCAGGGACGCCATTATTGCCGACAAGTTCCCGGCCTTTGTTAAAGAGTTCTTCAACAACCTATACCCAGATAGAAAGAGCTACCCGTCGTGGGCTGTAAACGCTCTGAAGACCGTAGGTATTGACTTGTTTGAAAGCTAAGACCGCTTGGAACTTGGTTCAAACTCTCCACACTCTCTTTCTGTTACTTGCGCGTATCACGAGTGATTGTCCATGTAAAGCTGCGCGAGTAGCTACCTGTTGGCTGAGCGTAGGTCCTGTTGTATCTTACTTGTACATTCGTAGATTCAGGGTTAGGGCTGTTGATGTTGATTGCTTGGCGTTTATTTCACGGCCCCGCTTGTGCCGGCCCAGAGAGCCAGCTACCCGGCCCGCCTGGCCAATGCGCCAATATGCGCATGCGACTGAGCAACAGAACACGGTCCGAGCTTTGAATTTTCGCGGACTTGAGTCCTCCATCACGGCGATCAACGTCCCCACGAGCCGTGCCAAACCTCGACGCCCGTCAACCGAAGCCACCGGCATCTCGACGGCACCTCGAATACACGATGGCTTCCTCCCGGAGTTTGTCGCCCGGAGGCGCGCTCCTCCGTTCCTCGCGCATGTTCTCGCTGCCTCAGCCGATTCCCCCTCCGCCCAGCAACAAGCTTTCGCAGAACAACGAGAAAACGCCCACCGAAGCGTTTCCGACTCAGCAGGTCCTAGCCACCTTTGAATCTTCCCGCGCTCGTGGAGATTGGGGTCTGAAGCGCCCGCTCCCCCTCAGGTTAACAACCACCAGCACGTATGGCATGGTCAAGGTCAAGGAGATGGACTCGATCGAAGAGATTACCGACTTCGCTTCCGGCACCCAGCACGGCCTTACGCTCAAGAAGTTCCAAGCCCTCAACATCCCCATCAGCACACCATCCGAAGTCAGCGATCCTTCCCGACTTTTCCGCCCCGTCCAGCGGTCCGTCTTCGAGGCCGACACCGATGTTACCGCTTTCAGCCCGGACGAGCAAATCCAGGAAGCCGAAAAGAGATGGAAGTTCAGTGGCCCTTGGCTGGCCGGCATGACCCCCGGCGAGTTCAGGGATTACCTCGCCAAGACCGTCAGACCAAAGCGCGCCGAGTTCCGTAAATTCATTCAGAAGAAGCTTGCGGCTCAGAAGACGGAGGCCGTGAACAGGGAGCTGCAGGAGACGGCTGCACTGAGGGGCGATGCGGTTGCGGAGACACAGAAGCCGTTCAAGCCGGAGTCCATTTCGGATGAGGAGGTGACCGAATACCTGCGCCGCCTGCGCAACGATAACCAGCTGCTCTACGATTTGGTCGGCCAGTTCTTGGATCTTGCACCGCTCAAGCCTCCTCAGGCTGCTGAAGCGCGTCACCAGAACTCCTTGATGATCAACTTGCGCGCAACCGACAGCCCGTACGGTGGACGCGGTCCTCCCATCACCCACCCCTCGGCCGGTATCTCATATCTCCGTACTGCGGCCTACCTTGACAACCACCCGATCTATGGACCGCAAAAGAGCCACCCGCCCGTCATGGCTAGAGTGCTCAAGCCGCGCAGGGGAGGTCTCGGACAGGATGCCAAGGTTGGTGTTGCTGGCTTCGTCGCCGACGGACCACTTGGCTCAGGCCACAGCAACATGAAGGGCAACGCCGTTGTTGAGAAGTTCGATCCCTCCATTGAAGGCGGTGCCAAGATTTGGGTCAACGTTGAGAAGGCGACAGTCGACTCGGCTGGCCGGGTACAGCTGATTGTCAATGATGCCAAGGCCACGGATGTCCTTATCGCCAAAGAGTTGACCGGCGAGACGACAGAGCGCATCTTCGGTTCTGCTCCCACGCGCCAGGAAAAGCAATTCAAGAGGATTTCTTTGACTGCTGCTAGGCTTAGGGGCAAGTACGAGAACCCCGACTCGTCCTCCAACCCCCCTACCATGTCGGGCTCGACTGGCTATGGTCTCCAGTAAGCCGGTCCTTAAGCAGAAGTGGGAACACGAATGCTTTCCGGCGGACAGTCAATGAGATACCCACAATCTGGCAAGAACCTGAAAGGATGCGGTCGGGGTATTTGTACACTGTAGATGCGGATGCATGATGAGAATACGTACCGCCCCCTCGCAAGCCAGTCATAAACTGGCATTCACTGTAACATTCGAAATGTGTAAAATATAAAGCGATTATGAAGATCTCGATGATGGGCTATGCTGGCAATTACCGAATCAAGCGGTCTAGGACAATGTGTTGTTATTGCCTGAGAATAAATAACCGTCACTGTGGAATTAAGGAAGCATCCGCGGATCGATTCAGGGGCCGACAATGGGTGTAAACAATTGGGGTCACGTGCCCGGGCGGGCCAAGACCAGCCACATCCAGTATCAGCCACAGGAGGCTTAAGTGCGTGCCCTAACGGCCAAACCTGGGCGTGCACTGACCCCACAACCCGCCCCGACTCGGATATTGCCAGACCAGAAAAGTTCGACATCGTGTTTGTTCACGTCTTCTTGTCCTTGACAACGTAACCCGTCAACTCCCCTCCTTCAGCAGCAAAGCAGCAGCAAAGCCGGCAAAATGGGTCGCGTTCGTACCAAGACTGTCAAGAAGTCCGCCAAGGTCATCATTGAGCGGTACTACCCCAAGTTGACTCTCGACTTCGAGACCAACAAGCGCATCTGCGATGAGATCGCCATCATTGCCTCCAAGCGCCTCCGCAACAAGGTGCGTTTTCTGCGAAGAGGGTCCAGAGATGGGCCGGAAAAGGAGACAGGCGGAAGGGGGATGGACGGTAAAGCTAACCTGGTTAACCAAATAGATTGCCGGCTACACCACTCACTTGATGAAGCGTATCCAGCGTGGCCCCGTCCGCGGTATCTCCTTCAAGCTGCAGGAGGAGGAGCGTGAGCGCAAGGATCAGTACGTTCCCGAGATCTCCGCTCTCGACTTCACCCAGAACTCCGAGAGCGGTCAGCTCGACGTCGACACCGAGACCAAGGACCTCCTCAAGCACCTCGGCGTAAGTTTTCACCATCACCTCGGTTCTAGCATCTGGCGCGCATGTGGCCATGGTAAGGATTCAATTTGTCTGACTTCATACCCTCAAACAGTTCGACTCCATCCCCGTCAACGTCATCCCCGTTACCCAGGCCCAGCCTGTCGAGCGCGGCCGCCGCTTCGGTGGTGACCGTCCCCGCCGCGACTAAATGTCGCTCGGTCGACGATAACCAAAATAACAATGGAAATCGGGCGTTGGATCACGCACAACGGTGGTGTCGGTCCCTGGGTTGGTGTTCGGCGTCTATCTGGAACATGGTAGTGAGAACATCATAGGTCACATCTGCGAAACCAAATGCGATCTGGTTGCCCACAAAAGGTGTCGCTGACTCTCTTGGTGTAATGCCGGAGACGACGCTTGATTGCCAATTCTCTTCCCGTCCTCGCATGGGATTGTGGTGCCTGGTGTGATGTGTCTCCGTGGTGAAGATTATGTTGATGGGCTGGGTTGGGACCTTTTTGGGGTGGTTTGGGACAGGTGATAGGATGGGAGTTCGCTTCCACTGCCGGTTCTCGGATCACCGCCAACAAGGTACGCTCAGTCCTTGTGATATGCTAACTCGCAGCGTTCCTTTGCCCTCGTGGCTTGAACTCTTATCGGATGCGCTTCTGAGCGTGTACTTGGGCTTCACGTTCTTGCTGGGTCAAATGAAAAGAACTAAACTTTGGGTGGGTATCTATAAACGTAGATCTGTAAATGCGATATTGTCCTGGTTCTGCCCAGATTCTGACTCGCAACGTAAATGTCTTCCTTTGTGTGGACTACATCGTTATTTGGATGCGTCCGGACATATAGTCATTAATATCATCATCATCGCTCTCTTCACTTTCGCTCTCACTGTCATCCTTCTTCGTAGTCTCCTGCTTCTTGGCACCAGTGCCGAACGTAGGCTTATGACCTTCAACCATATGGTGAGCATCTTCAGCAGAGCCCTTCTTCCGAGACGTGGAAGACGGCTTCGTGTGATCGGGTGCCTTTGCTGGACCAGTCGTTGGCTTCTCCCGGATTGTAACGTCAACACCTTGACCGGCCAGCAGCCTATCAAGTTTACCGCCGCCCTGGCCTCTCTCAACAGCCAAAGCGTCAGCGTCTCTTTGCATCTGCGCAGCCTTATCCGCAATCTCGGTCTTTCTGTTGAGATCCAGTCTCGCCAGGTCAAACGCCAGTTTCTCCTCCGCCTCTTTGATGCTTGTCGCCTTGCCTTTGGCCTTGTCCTCTGCGGTCTGTTTCTCTTGCGCCGCCGCCGCCAGCTTCTTCTTCTTCTCCTCCCTCAACTCAACCTTGACCACCCTCCTCCCCGTCTCCAAATCCGTCACGTAACTCGGATTATCCAGCTGCACTTTTACGTAAAGCGCCCTAACCGCGCACTCGTCGCTGCACCACTTATTCAGATCTTCTGTTTTCGCAATATTGCCCGTCCGCATGATGATCTTGTACTCCCCCTCGTAATTCCTCTTCTTCCTCGGACAGAGCACATAGCCGCATGCGCCCAAGCAGTTGCGCTCCTCGATTAACTCGAGGTATTCCGTGGGCGTGAAGTCCTTGATTAAAGACAGGAACTGGGCGGTGTCCTGGGGAGAAGGGTTGCTTGCCGAAAGGGGGAGGTTATTGTGAGGGTGGAGGTGGGCAGGAGAGCGCAGGGTGGGGAAGCTGGATAACAGCTCGATGGTCTCGAGAGGGATGGTGGGCTTGAGCTCGGTGGCGGATAAGCGTTGCAGGAGGAGGGCTTGTTCGTGGGCGAGCTGCTGCTCGCGCGGTAGCGAGGTGAGGTCGGGGATGGAGACGGGGAGGAGTGCCGGGGGGACGTAGTCCCTGTTTGCATGCTGTTGATGCGTTTCTTCTGGCAGTTGGGAAAAGCCGGGTTGGTGGGTGGTTTTCTTGAGGATTGATTTGGGTGCCGGTTTTGAGGCTGGTGGTGATGAAGTCATTTTGGCTGGTGTTTAAACGTTTGTTGAAATGTCCGAGGTAACTCTTAAGCTGCGTTGACGGTCCTTGTGCTTGATCGGCCGAGGTTGATTTGAAGAGTCGGGCAATGGTCTTTTTGCTTTTGTCGCAAAGCTGATGTCTTCAGTTGTGAGGCAATGTTGTTTTGAAGAAACGTCCGTCCAAAATGGAAGCTTCCACGCAATGATGGAATGGCCGATAAGATAATCACTGAACTGAATGATTCCATCCCGGCAGGCAACAACATGGGCAAATGAGTCCCACGTGCAATCTTGAGCTGCCTCCACAGAAGAGCTCGGAAAGGGAGCAATCCTTGTCATGTACTGCCTCATTGTTGAGGATGACAGGATGGCAGTGCTTAGGTTTCTTGGATGATGGATACGTTGGCTTCCTGAACCTTATGCATGATGATGATGAGGAGGAAGCTCAAACATTGGTTCCCGTTGTTGACAAGACAAATTGTAATGTTTGGAATTAAACTCAAGAGGTATCCCTCGGTTTCATCTCGCTCTTTGGGTCGAATGCTGCATGGCAAAACATGTCTGAAAAGGTTGCATCATCCAACGCATTCATGTAAGCCATGATCCCAGCTCTTCCCGGACGTACATGCGTGCATCTTGAACCTCCTGCTTCTGGCTTTGATTCATCATGCCCGGTCTCAGATATTAGACATCAGTGTCTTTATATGCATATTTCACGGAAACCCCAATATCTCAGACTGTTGGAAAGTTTAATGCAGCGTCGAAGTGAGCATCAAGTACCCCATAGCATATACCTACAGCTACAGGTGCTCACGTCGAAGTTGGAGCTAGTGAGTTCAGCTTAACTTCGTTAGGTGAACGTATTACATCCCCGGTCAGAAGATCACACAGATTATAGACCTGGGAGCATCTCACAAAGTTTCCGATACGAGAAGGAGCATATGACTTGAGGTGACCATCAAAGAGAAAGAAACGGAGTTCGGAGCAAGTCCAGTGATCCGGCGGCGTAGCAACAATTGTTAAAGTGGAAACACTCGGAGCCCCCCAGTGCGACAGCAGGGACGGCCCAGTCCATCGTTAGCTAGCACTGTCCAATCCAGAGAGGTGCCCGCCTATCGCCTGATGCGTTCAATGCGCTGCCTCTCCATCAATGGTGCCAGTGAGTGCCGCCTTGTGCTGTCACTACTGCTTCCGCTTATGCTCGAGGTGTTTCTTTCCCCGCGTCATCCCGGGGCTTGATTCACTGCCACCGACAGAAGCCATTCATTCTCTCTTCACAACTTCCACTTCAAGCTTCATCAAAGTGGCGGGTCTCCGGCAACCGAATCTCCAAACACATGGGCTTCGCTGTCGCCCTCCACATTCGCACTTCAACAAGACGACTTTAACACCAACTATCTATTCAATTCACACCAACTAACACTCGTGCTACCTACCTGACGCTAGGACGACGTCTGTCTGATTGCAGCTTACCTACCAAGTACCTTACTGCTGCTGCCTCCTGCGCAGGGCCCGCCCCGCACTCACTCTCACGCAACTCACCCCCCAAATCTTACCTTGACCCGACTTCGACACAACGACTCCCCCGACCGCTTGGGTTGATTTCCCAATTGCAGCATCATCATGTCGTTGTTCAAGGTCAAGGCCATCTTCGAGTACGCCTCGCCCCATGAGGACGATCTCAACTTCCCCGCCGGCCAGATCATCACCGTGACCGACGAGGAGGATGCCGATTGGTATGGCGGAGAATACGTCGACGACGCCGGTGTCAAGCAAGAGGGCATCTTCCCTCGCAACTTCGTCGAACGCTACGAGCCCCAAGCTCCGCCCCGCCCAACAAGACCAACCCGCGCCGCCAAGAAGGAGCCCGAACATGTCGCCGCTCCCGAGCAAGTAGTCTCCCCGGAGCCCGAGCATGCTCCTGAACCAGTGCGCTCGCCATCGCCTACTCCTGCTGCTTCCGCTGCTCCGCCTGTGCCTGCACCTGTACCCGCTGCCGAACCCCCGGCGCCCAAGCCCGCTCCGCCCGCACAGGCATCCGCTCCCCCGCCGCCGGTTCCGCAGGCAGTTCCGCAGCCTGCCGAAGCTCCGAGAGTGCTGTCTCCGCCTCCCAAGCCCGCCCCTACACAACAGCAGCAACAGCAACCCAAGCCCGGCGGACCTCCCCCCGTCGCCGAGAAGCCCTCGAGCTTCAAGGACCGTATTGCCGCCTTCAACAAAGCCGCGGCCCCTCCTCCTGCTCCCTTCAAGCCTACCGGTTTGAGTTCTGGCGCCAACTTCATCAAGAAACCCTTTGTTGCGCCTCCTCCCAGCAGAAATGCTTACATCCCCCCTCCGCAGCAAGCTCCTGTTGCCAAAATCTACCGCCGCGATGAGGATCCGGAGGTCAGGGAACAAGAGGCTCAAGTCCAGGAGAATGCTGCCAGGGCAGGTCTCGTCCCCGGTGCTGCCTCAAACGAGGGAGAGGCCGAGGAGGACCAGCCGAAGCCGCTCAGTCTCAAGGAGCGCCTGGCCCTTCTGCAGAAGCAGCAGATGGAGACGGCTGCTCGACATGAGGCTAAGAAGGAAAAGCCCAAGAAGCCTGTCAAGAAGAAGGTTGAGACCCACGAAGCCGCCGAGGAGGGCGAACCTGCCGCCGTACCCCTCGAAAGACACGACACCGAAGAAACTGTCAGAAAGTCAATAGATGAGTCTCACCAACCACGTGCGCCAGCACCCAGGCGCAAGTCAAACTTCGGCGTTGAGCCCAATGATGGCAACGAGGCCGACATGTCTGGCGCCGGCGAGACAACGGAAGGGCAAGAGGATCTGACCGAAAAGGAGGAGGTTGAAGAGCACAAGCATGTTGCTACCGCCGCCAAGCAGGACGATACCAGGCTTGATCAGGAAGAGGACGACGAAGAGGAGGAAGAGGAGGAAGAAGAAGAAGAGGAAGATATTGACCCGGAGGTCCGGCGTAGGGAGGAACTGCGTGCTAGAATGGCCAAGATGTCAGGCGGCATGGGTTTGCCCGGAATGCCTGGCATTTCCCTTTTCGGCGGCCCGCCTCCTATGCTGCCCAAGAAGAAGAAGCCCGTTCCTGAGAAGGTGGAGGAATCTGAAGAACAGCCCACTTCTCCGGTTCAGCGTGCGCCTCCTATCCCGACCATGATGGCTCTTCCTGGTATGTCCCGGGTACCGGAACCTGTGCGTTCCCCTGAAGCCGAGGAGCCCCGTTCACCGTTGCATGCGCCGCCGCCGCCTGCTCGTCCTCCTCAGCAGGCTGAGCCGGAGCAGCCGGTGTCTGAAGAGGAAGAAGAGGAAGAGGAGGAGACTGAGGCCCCTACACCGCATCAGGCACCGTCATGTAAGTCCCGGACATTTAGTTACCTTGTCAACTGACCATGCTAACTCTAAGTAATGACAGTGCCTTCGAGGGATCCCGGTGTACCGCCTCCTGTGCCCGGTGGAAGACCAGCTCCGCCTCCTGTTCCTACCGAGGGTAAGCTTATTCGTTCATACGAGTTGTGAATAACCTATTAACTTGGTGCAGCCCGTCCTCCTCCCCTGCCTCCGACTGCATCGGCCACATTCTCGCCCAGTGAAGGCTCTGCATCGGATGACGAGCTATCGGAAAGACCACAGGATGAGTCTGATACTCCGCGCCCCGCTGAGACGTCGCGTACCACCCGGGCTCCGCCGCCCCTTCCGGCTCTTGCTCCGCCGACACCGCAGATGCCTCCTCCGCCCGTATCACCGCCAACCTCACCAGGTATCGCACAGGGTAGACGCCAGTCGTACTACGAGGCATCACCCATGTCCCCTCCGCTCCCTCCTGCTTCACCGTCAGCCAAGGGTGAAAGTCGCTTGCCTCCTCCGATTCCCGGTATGGTCCCGATGACCCGGGCTCCTCCCCCTCCCCCGGCAGCACCACCAAGGACGCCGACTACGGAATCTTTCCATCAACGCCAACCCTTGTCTCCCGGAAGGGCCAATGACAACGAAGAAGTGGAAGCAGAGATTACCGAGTACGAAGGTGATTACGATACGGACATTGCTTCCTCTGTTCCCCATAAGGATGCACTGAAGTCTCACCAACGTGATGCGAGCTTTGATGGCCCCACGTCGCCACGGTCACCCGTGTCCCGCCCACCTCCTCTTCCCCCGACATCACCACCGAGAGCCGGCCCCCCTCCTGTTCCACTCATGTCTCCAGTAGAGACCCGTAAGTCTGTCGACGTGCCACGTGCGGCGCCTCCACCTCCTCCGATGCAAGAGATGCCTAGGTACGAGGAAGGGGACTTCGACCCCTACAACTACTCATTGCCGACTCACGGAACGTCCTCGATACCCTCATTCCCCTTGCCCACTTCGCCTCTGTCTGAGCCATACTCTCCTCAAAACACAAGAGCTCCTCCCCTGGGACCTCCCGGCAGTGGTCGCCCTTCAACCCGACAGTCGATGGATGTTGCGCGTTCCAATGTCCGGCGGTCGGTAGATGTGACGCGGCCGTCAATGGAGTCAGGCTTCGTTGCTAACGACATCGACCTGGCCAGCCAGTCGACTTGGTGGCTGCAGCCCAACAGCCTTCCTCCACCGCTTCACGGACGCAAGGATATCCTCCATGAGTCTGAGGAGTCTACTGCTTCCGATCCCCACTCCGGCAAGACCATCGTTACCCGCGACATTTACGTCTTGTTCCAGGATTACTCCCAGACCGTGATCACCGTTCGCTTCAACCCTCATGATCCGGCCGACGTTGAGCTCGAGCAGCGTCACGAACCCCCGCCCCGTACTTTGCGTCAAGACCAGCTTGAACAGAGCTACGAGCGTTTCGGACGCGCCATCAGTGAGGCCGTGTCTGGCAGGAAGGACACTGTCGTCGGCGATGGCACTCCCCAAGCGCTGATCTTCGAACTTCTCCGCCCCTTCAAGGACGCCCTCCTGCCCGTCGGCACGCGCGCTTACGGCGCCCTGGTGTACTCCAACCTGGCCAACGCGAGCACCACTCAAAACGACGAGATCCGGCCCGGCGACATCATCTCCATCAGAAACGCAAAGTTCCAGGGCAAGCACGGCGCCATGCATGCCAAGTATACCATGGAGGTCGGCAAGCCGGACCACGTCGGTATCGTGGCCGAGTGGGATGGCACCAAGAAGAAGGTCAGGGCTTGGGAGCAAGGACGGGAGAGCAAGAAGGTCAAGGTCGAGAGCTTCAAGCTTGATGATTTGAGGTCTGGCGAGGTCAAGATCTGGAGAGTCATGCCCAGGAGCTGGGTCGGCTGGGAGGGAGGAAACTAGGATTAGGATTCCTCATTGACCAGTGGGCCGTTGACAACGACGCTCGATCTTGATGGACGTTTGTATGGGGCTGAAATAAGGAGGAGGACTGAGAGATCCAGTGGAATTGGCGGTCTGTTGGGTGTTTTGGTGAGGGTTGTAGGTTCTGACCATTGGTGATGGTACGGTTGGCACGGAGAGAAGATTTGGTCCTTTGAAGTTACAGTTGCTCTTTGCCCCTGTTTCTTCTTTGTCGTTGGGTTTTGGAGCCCTCATTTTGCCTGTAAGTATTTTGCGTGTTTTGTTTGGTTGTAAGGCGGCAGAAGGAGAGCAAAGCAGCAGGTGGAAGTGAGAGATGGAAGAATTAAAGTCTTTATTACAGTTATTCACACACTAGTACAAACTCAAAGTCATAATAAGTTCTTCATCCTCCCTCAATACATACTACAAAACAAAACACACCACAACAAACAGAACAATGGTAGCTACAGCAACAGCAATTTTTTTATTTACTTCGCGTATTTAGCTTCTCTAGCATATAGTCTTTGTTTAGTTTTCGTTCCATTACTTTCTACCTCCACTGGCATCATCGTCCGTCCCTCCAAGTTTGTGGTGACACCCAACTACCTGTCCATCCGGTGTTACACAGCCGGTTCTGGTTCTGGTGACAGTCGGCCAACCGAGACATAGTTAAAAGGAGGCCTGCTAAGAAATGTCGAAGAGGTTCAAACAAAAGAGGACGGTAAAAGGAGAATAATCAAGTCAAGTACCTTATGTACATGAAACTGACAGAAGGGGGGATGACAGAAGAGAAAGGAAAAAGAAAAGAAGGAAAGAAGGAAAGAGCAAGTGTTGAGAAAAAAAATAAAAAATCTGAAAGTGAAAGCGGAAAAATCTTGATCAAAACCCAGGGGAGTCATTTATGGTAGGCGTTTCAAACAGTACATTACAATTGACCAAACATTATCTGAAGTATATCATGGTAAACAGTCACTATCTATCAATGAGCATTTCAAACATGTTCTTTTTCATTTAGCAAAGCCCCAGTGTCATATAACCATCTAGTAACCTGCCTCACTGGGGGTCATCAGTACAAGTTACAGTTACAAAAATAAAGGTTTTCCATCCAGGTTGGATGGAGACAAGGAACTTTCTCATACATATATCATTATCACCCAGTCAGCAACGCAGAAACTAGATAGATGAGACGAGTGCGTGCGGGCGGTATTGGATATCACTTCTTTTTATTTATCCCATTTTCCCATCCATCCATCCATCCATTCATCCATTCATCCATGCCAGCAAGAAAGTAATTACTAGATCCGCTTATATGTCACAACCACGCCACGTCACGTCCCCGTCCGCTGTCCATCCAGGCTTATGTCTTATGTCCTAGGACTCCTCAAGAATCCAACAACACCACCACAGTACCCGACTAAATCATCCAACCGCTTCTTTTCCCGCTCCTGCTGCTCCTTCCACTTGCCCAGCTCTTTCAAGAGGGTCTCGCTCTCCATAATCACGTCAAAGTGTAGTCTCAGGAACACGGTCATCCACGCTTGCGTGAGCTCGTAGTCTCGGCGCTGGGCGAGACGTTGAGTCATGGCGCGGATGAAGTAGAGGAGTTCGTTCTCGTCGCCACCCAGGCCGACGGATAGGGAGCGTAACTCGAGGTCGGCGGTGGAGGGGGAGAGGGATTTTAGGTGGTCGATGAAGAAGGTATCTGTTTTTGGGGTGTTAGTAACCGTCAAGAGGCAGTGAGGGGAGAGAGGGAAAAAAAAACTTACAATCACCCGTCTCAGCACCTTCCAACAACTTGGCCGTAAAAGCTTGATACGTCCTCGTCGTCTCGAGCTGCGTTAGTCTCGAAATACGACTCTCCTCCTCATCCTTCTTCTCGCCCTCCGTCAGCAGCAGCGGGTTCGTCGACCCATCGCGGAGCGAAGGCAAGAAGAAGGGCGCCTTCTCGGGCGCCTTGGGTGGCTCCTTGGGCTTGTTGCGCTGCTTGATCAGGTCGATGTGCAGCAGCGTCTGCCACCTGCTCTTGGGCACCAAGCTGAGGGTGACCATGTCGGCGCTGAGCTGGTCGAGAACGGGCGCGGACATGCTGTCGTCCTCCTCCTCCTCCTCTTGCTCTTCCTCGAACGCCGCCTCGATGAGACCCTGACCGCCCTCGCCTGAGCTGGTAGGTCCGGCCGAGATCTCGGCGATGTCCTTTTCGGATATTTGTCTGGTGGGCACGTGCTTGAACAGCGTCCTGTTAGTCCAGATGTGCACGCCCAGCTCGCCCTCGGTGGCGCCGGCGAGGTACTCGCCCGTGTTGGAGAAGGCAATGGCGGTGCAGGCTTTTTCGAGCCTAAAAGCGTCGATGAGGTGGGCCGTGGGCAGGTCCCAGACGCGGACGACGCGGTCCTGCGAGGCGGCCACGATCCACCGCCCGTCGTTGGAGAAGGTGAAGTCGTTGATGGTGTTGCGGCAGCCCCAGAACTCTCTGATGGTCTGCTTGGTCTCAATGTCGACGACGCGGATTGAGTGGTCGTCGCACGCGAACGCGATCAGGTCGTTGCCCGCGTGGTAGCGGCAGCCCGTGATCTGCACCATAGGCGCCCAGTCGATCTCGTCGACGAGGTTGCCCGTGACGAAGTCCCAGAACTTGACGGTGCCGTCGAGAGAGCACGAGATGACGAACCGGTTTAGCGGGTCGACCACGATGCCTGTTACGGACTTGGTGTGCTTGCCCGAGCCGGGGGCAAAGGAGGTCTTGGAGGAGGCGCGCTTCTCGAGCTGGCTCACCTGGTCGAGCGCCTTGAGTTGCTGCATCTTCAACTGGCGCATCTGTGCGGGAGTAAGTCGGGAGGGGAAGCGTTGCTTGTGGCGGCCGGACTGGAGGTTGAACATGTCTAAGCTACCACCAACGGAACCGACAAGGGCGAAACTGCCGCAGGGGCTGATAGCCACGGTAGAAACGTTCGCGCCATCGCCAGTCTTGAAGGCCCATCTACCGGCACGCTTGCGACCCCAGAACCAGGTGCGAGCCCAGGGGTCGTCTTTGTGAGCTGTTACTACACTTTCCCAGCCGGTCATCGCAGCAAGCTCGGACTTGGTCGGCTTGCTCTTGTCGTTGCCCTTATCCCAGATAACTTGCCTGCCTGGCATAGCGCCCATACCGCCATCACGGTTGAGCGAGGAGGCGATGCATGTGATTTCGGGAGCCTTGAGGTCGTCCAAGGTTGTAGACGGGCCGTGGCCGCCGAGGGCGGTGTTGGCAAGAATACCAACCTTCTTGGCCTTCTTGCGAAGAGCACCCTGACTGAGCTCGGAGCTCTGGCCATCGCGGCGCAAACTCCAGCCCCATAGACTCCGGTCCTTGCCACCACTGAGTAGCCACTTGTTGCCAGCTTCGGCACCATCGAAATCGGTTGGCAAGAATTGCAGGCAGTTGACGGGGGCAGCGTGGCCGCTGCGCATGTGAAGGATACGGGGAACGGGCGAGAAGGGCGATTCGTCGAAGATCCAGGACTTGAGCGAGTTGTCCAAACCACTGGTCATGATAACGGGCTGTCCCGGGAGGAACTCGACCTTGCTGATACCTCCGCGCACAGTCTTGTCGGTGTGTGATGGCGGGTTATGTGCGCTCCGGAGCACACCCATCACTCTGCCGCCCTTGTTGAGATCCCAGAATGTAACATCTCCACCAATGCTTGTTGCAGTAGCCATAACACCGTCCTTTGTGCCATCTTGACCAGCACCCATACCGTCGGTTCGGAAGGAGATGCTCGTAACGGGAGCGTGTTCGGATCCAGCCATAAATTTGAGGGAGGACTTGTCGGTAAGGACGTTGTGGATAACGAGGGGGCCGTTCGAGTATGCGATGGCGAGCAGCGAAAGGGCCGGAGTAGGCTCCATGCAGGTGACGGAGCCGGCGTCCGGAGAGGGCGGAAGGATGGTGTAGATGAGCTTGCCGGTGCTGACGTTCCAGATCTCTACCCAACCGTCCTTGCGACCGACGAAGATCTTGTTGAGGAAGGTAGGCATGTTGATGACGCCACCGGTAAGCTCGTTGTCGCCCTTCTTGGCGGCGACGGAAAAGATGGTCGTGTAGTGTTCGAGGGTGGCCGACTTCCATACTTCGAGGCGGGTTTGGGCGCATGCGACAATCCAGGAACCGAAGATAAGGATCTGCTTGATGGGCTGGTCGAGGTCGGCGGGGAGTTCGAGCTCAACTACCTTCTTGCCGCGCTGGAAGGCCCAGATACCTTGGGGCTCGCCATTTTGAGGGTTGCCCCAAGCGGCGTATACCTTCTCCTTCCAAGCATGTGTCGCGGTGATGTCGGCGGGGGTCTGAGGGCGGGTAACGAAGACGAGGTTGAGACCTCTCTTTAGGTCGTAGGTCTGGAGAGAGCGGCCGACCGAGGTGGTGATCTGAAACGTAGTCTTGCCGAGGGGAATGGAGGTGAAGGGAACGCCTGTTGGAGAGACCAAGCCTACAGTTCTGAAGGGAGCAAAGATGGAGGAACCCTTCTTCTTCTGAGGACCCTTGGCCTTGACGACAGAGGCATTGAGCTTCTGCCGTTTTGTGGAGGTGATTTCGCGATCGGAATGCGGCATGATGTCGTCGCGTGGCATGTGCTGCCAACTACTAACGATGTCTTGCTTGTTCGCGAATGCCTTGTGAACCCTTGAAAGTCGCAGTCGAAGTTTTCGATATGATAGCCTTGTCGCGGTGGACCAGAAATTTTCAGCCACAGTTTGGGGTCAGTTGGGGCAGGCAAAGTGTATGCACTGTGTGATTGGCCTGCCTTGCGGCGTGGGGTAAGATAAAAGCTAAGCGCATGTGGAGCAGCCGTATACTTGGGACCCACAGAGCTTAAATGTGGCACTGTGTATTGCGATCCCGGCCACACTGCCTTTGCTGCTTTTATGGGGATTAGGTTGCTGTTCTCCATCATCCCGTCTTTGACCTTCAGTTGCGACGGAGTTCTTTATGCTTAACATCCAGTGTCATCTTATGAATTGACCATCTCGGGTGTTCCTGTTTGAGTTTAAAACCTGACTGGATATTCTATGAACTTTCTTCCAGTGTTGAGCAGGAAAGGGAATCGAAGACTGGAGGCACCTTACGCCATTGGATGTTCAACACATGCACTGTCCCTGGACCGAATTGGTGTGCATTTTGCATCTGAGGTTCTTCTCGAATTTGACTCTTCTCCCTCATGGCCGAGTTTCAAAGTCGATCATAAAAGTCTTGCCCAACTTATACCTTGAAGTTATTGGCTTCCGATACACAGCATAGACATTCTATACATACTTCGGTTGCAAGACTTAGGTACTATTGCGTAGCAGTCTTTGAACCCCGCAATCTGCCCCGCCAACTGGACACAGCTCAGGCTTGTGAAACAAATGGAGCACAGCACTGCACCACCGTCCCTTGTCAGCTTCAGTTGTCACTTGTCACGCAGCTTGGGAATGCTGGCAGCCTGGCACGCAGGCGTCATCCCGTCCTACCGCGTCCGTCCACACACCAACACCATCGAGTTCGCAATGACACCCACCTTCGGCTTCCCTTTCACGGCTCATTCACCGCTGTCCTTGATGTCTGTAAAGGTTATTTTGCGCCAGAATAACAGGGTTGATAATACATAGTTTTTGACACCATGATGGGTATGTCAAGTCCCAATGGATACTCAGACTCTCAGTATGCATACGGCCCATCTCCAGAGAGGTTCTGTCCTATGGAATGTCTACCCGAGGTAAAGTACTACTGTATGTATTCTATCCGCCCCATAGGGTTGGAGTCTTGGTAGCATTGTTGGGTCCGTTAACGGAAATCGCCCTCGTGCCTTTTCCTCCTCTACTTTTTTTTATTCTTTCTTTGAGCCAGCCCCGCGCAGACAACTTGGACCCCTTGCCTTTCAAAGTTGCGCTACCTTACTCTCGGTCCCTCCTCGTGTCGCCACAACACTACTATCTATCCACCTTTGTCTTGTTGTGTACCAATGGGTATCGCAACGATTACATGTCGTGCTTATTAGCTGTGTTTGGATGACAGCTTAGCACTTTTGGCTACGTAGATCAATCTATCTGGGACAAAAGAAAAGGGAAAAAAAGATCAAAGGTAGGTTGACAACCCCCCTTCCTCTTTATCATCGACCATCGACTGTGGTTGTCAATTGCTTGGAACCTTCAAAACCATTGGGCCCCAATCTAACTTCTTTTTGCTTTCTTTTTTTTTCTTTGGGGAGCGGTCTAGTCTAGACCTCCGCCAAATAAGAAGTGCAGTTCCCAGTTTTTTTTTCCCAACCGCAACGACGCCCAACATCAAATCCATTGGTCGCGATTACCTTAGCATATTCTAATCGACCACCACGACAGCCACCGTTATCACCGACGACATATAAGTCGATAGGCTGCTCCTGCAGCTTCCCGCCGCAGCCATGGAAGCACACCTTGAACCCGATTCCCTTCAAGTAGCGGATCGTCCTACCGTCGATACGTCTGAAGCTTCCTCTTTCACCCATCCGGATCAAGACCCCAACATTCCTGTCGCAACACACGAAGCAGAAACCGGCAGCCTAGACCTGCCTGTCAGAGAAACTGAAGACATGGCGGGTGCACCTTCCTCGAGCATCGCAGTCCCCGGCTCCATCCCCATCAACAATGGCAGCGGCAGTGGCAGCGGCAATGGCCATGGCAGCCAGAGTGGACGGGGTAAAACCAGACGATCCGCCTCACATTCACTCTCTCACAGCATAGCTTCATCCTTTGCGAATAGTATTGCCAGCCGCAAGAGCAGACACGTCGAACCGGGCACTATCGAAGTCAATGTTGATGCCAATCTATCTCAGCCCCCGCCCGTTCAGTTGCCACAACAGAAACCTTCGCTCTCGCACAGCCGCCGCGAATCGTCCAACTCGTTCCGCTCCTTCATCTCGGACGCCTGGAGCGACGCAAACAATAGTCAGGGATACTCGGACTTGGGAGGTGGAGCACATGTACCCGGCAGCTTTGGCAGCGCCTCCGCGGTTCCACCCTTGTTTTCTCCCCGAGATTTTACATTTGCCGCCGGCGATAACGGCCAGAATCAAGGTAAGACTCACATCCATTCCGGCTCCACTACCGCCGTCACTAATGGAAATCCGGTTCTACAGCTATCATTGAAGACTCGGAAACTCCTCGTCTACGTGCCGGGACCGGTAACACGAACGGCAACGCCCCTGTTTCCGAAACTCCTCAACAACAACAACAACAACAACGCCAACTCCCCGATCCCGCTCTGCAAAATTCCATTACTACCCCAACCCAACGCGAATACCCCTACCACTCTCGCCGCCGAAACTCGTCCTTCTTTGGCTCCGAGTACAGCCAAGCAGACAGCAACAAGCGAAAGAGTATCTCGTCCATGTACTCTTTGGCCTCGGCCCGTGGTGTTCCCAGTTCTGAAAACGGCAGCAACAGTGGCGCCACCGGCCCTGCCCGAGTGGTAACCGGCTTCATGTCTTCCTCCGCGCCCTCCAAATCGGGAGTCATCCCGCCCGCCAGCACCGCCCAGGCCGCAGAAGCCAGCGTCTCGACAACCACTGTTACGACCGGCAGCCAAGGTGCACCGGGCACCCACCAGCTGTCGCCACGGGAATCGCATGCTCAACAGATAGGCGATATGCTCAAGAATGGTCAGAGTAGGGGAAACCATCACCATACTTCGCAGGCTCACGGCCACGGTGTTCCAGCTCCTGTCAACACTGCTGTTGCTAACGGCGCAACACCTACACCGCGAGCGGTGCCACCCAGGTCCAGGAGCAGAGCGAAGCGCAGATTCAGTGGTAGTACCGCTGCCAGCGGAGGTCAGAGTCCTAATGGTGAAAGAGTGGTATCAGGCCATGAACATAGGGTTCCAAAGGAGGAGCACAAGCCTGCCCCGTACGGTGTCATTGGCGTGTGTGCTTTGGACGTGAAGGCGAGAAGCAAGCCCAGCAGAAACATCCTGAATCGACTAATTCAGAACGGCGAATTTGATGTTTGCGTTTTTGGAGACAAAGTTATTCTTGATGAAGGTACGTATCCCATAAGCCATCCCTCCATGTATATGGATGAAAGCAATTGCTAACAGTTTGGCCGCAATGCAGAGGTCGAAAACTGGCCCATGTGCGACTATCTAATCTCGTTTTATTCTGACGGCTTCCCCCTTGAAAAGGCCATCGCTTACGTCAAGGCCCGCAAGCCCTTCTGCGTCAACGATGTCCCTATGCAAAAGATACTCTGGGACCGCCGCCTCTGCCTTCGCCTTTTGGATCGTATCGGTGTCCCCACCCCTCAGCGCATAGAAGTGAACCGGGACGGTGGCCCTCCTCTTTTGACTCCCGACATCTGCAAGCTCATCAAGGACGTCAGCGGGGTACCTTTTGAGCCGACTAATACGGATCCAGAGCACGCCAAGAAGGTCGCGCCGCGCAAGATCGAGCTGCTCGAAGACGGCGACGTTCTCTCTGTCGACGGAACGCTGATCAAGAAGCCGTTTGTCGAAAAGCCCACGAGCGGTGAAGACCATAATATCATTATCTACTTCCCTTCGTACGCCGGTGGTGGTGCGAGGAAGCTTTTCCGCAAGATCGGCAACAAGAGCAGTGAATATGTGGAGGACCTCAACGTGCCCAGGTGCATCACTCAGCCCGATGAGAGTTTCATCTACGAAAAGTTTATGCAGGTTGATAACGCCGAGGACGTCAAGGCGTACACCGTTGGGCCAACGTACTGCCACGCCGAGACTCGCAAGTCCCCCGTTGTGGATGGTGTCGTGCGCAGAAATACGCACGGAAAGGAGGTCCGTTATGTCACAGCCTTGAGCGACGAGGAAAAGGATATTGCGGCCAAAATCAGCACAGCATTCGGGCAATGCGTTTGCGGTTTTGACTTCTTGCGTGCGGGAGGCAAGAGCTATGTCATTGACGTGAATGGCTGGAGCTTCGTCAAAGACAATGAGGATTACTACAACCAGTGCGCCAAAATTCTCAGGGAAATGTTTCTCAAGGAGAAGCAGCGCAGGGGTGGAATGACTCCGCCGTGCCCGTCGCCCGCCATTTCTGAAGTGACGGATCCTCTTGCGGCTCGCGCAGCCCTCATGCACAAGGAGAAGGAACTTGCAGCATTGACAGCAACCCAGCGCAAGGCGAGCTTGGACAAGCAGAGATCGGATACCAGGCAACATGATGCGCCGCCGCACGTCAAATCAGAAACCTCGATTGCCTCTAAGTTGTCAACCAAACAGAGCAGCCCGCGCACCAGCCAATACGGAGAAAGTGCGCCGCCCACGGCGCCATCGACGCTACCCACTACTCCTTCGCTCGCTAGTATCGCCATTGCCGAACAGGAGCATGAACATGAGCAAGAGGAAACGCCGCCACCGCCTCCTCCCAAGCCTAGCTGGAAGCTCAAGGGTGTGGTGTCTGTCATTCGCCATGCTGATCGTACGCCGAAGCAAAAGTATAAGTTTACGTTCCACACAGATCCCTTCATTCAGCTTCTCAAGGGACACCAAGAGGAAGTGCTCCTTATTGGTGAGCCGGCCCTCGCAAGCGTGCTTGATGCTGTTGATGTGGCCCTGAAGGCTGGGATCGAAGACCCCGTCAAGCTGAGATCACTCCGCAACGTCCTTGTGAAGAAGGGCGGATGGGCTGGTACCAAGGTCCAGATCAAGCCAATGTTTAGGAAGAAAGACAAGCCCAAGAAGGAAGACAAAGGCAAGGAGAGCGTAAAGGTTGACGAAGAGGTCAAGGAGGATGCTGCTCCTGGTGAAGGCGACATAGTCGACAAGGACGGTGAGGCCAAGCCTCGTAGGCCAGCCAAGAGGCACGATTCCTTGTCAGGCGTCACCATGTCCAAGTTCACTGCTGCTGAGGAGAGCTTGGTGTTGGATAAACTTCAGCTCATTGTGAAGTGGGGCGGTGAGCCGACACACTCCGCCCGCTACCAGGCACAGGAACTCGGTGAGAGCATGCGTAGTGATCTTGGCCTCATGAACCGTGAAGTCCTGGAGGAGGTCCACGTCTTTAGCAGCAGTGAGCGTCGTGTCGTCACTAGCGCCCAGATCTGGGCGGCTAGCTTCTGCAAGAAGAAGGAATTGCCTGCGGATTTTATCACCATCCGTAAGGACCTTCTTGACGACTCAAACGCCGCCAAGGACGAGATGGATAAGGTGAAGAAGAAGCTGAAGGGTCTTTTGCGGAAGGGAAATGAGCGGCCGCCCCAGTTCGCCTGGCCTGAAAACATGCCTGAGCCGTCTGAAGTGCAGACGCGCGTGGTTCAGCTCATGAACTTCCACCGCAAGGTCATGCAACACAACTATGCCAAGCTCTACAGCGGTGCTGTGAATTCTCTCAACGCGATCAACAACCCTAGTATGGAGAAGATCAGTGAGACTTCCGGCTCGTCGCTGTCATCACTTGGCTCATCGCAGGTGAACGCGGTGAACAGCATCCAAGCCAGATGGTGCTGCGGTGAGGACGCTGAGCTGTTCAAGGAGCGTTGGGAGAAGCTCTTCATCGAGTTCTGCGACGGCGAAAAGGTTGACCCTAGCAAGATTTCGGAACTTTACGATACCATGAAGTTCGATGCCCTACACAATCGTCAGTTCCTCGAATGGGTCTTTACTCCACCGAAGACTATGCTTGAGGAGGACTACGGAATCCTGGCTCCCCCTAATGGAGGCAAGGATGCAAAGTCACCGTCCCCTGTGTCGAGCACCGATAATGAAACTCCCAGGCATTCTGAGAGCGGGACGTCATTGGCAGAGAAGATTGATTCGAAGACTGTCAAGCGTATCTTCCGCAGGCGGTCGTTCTTGCACGGGTTCAGACCTGGGCCAGGTCCGGAATCCGAGCTCCCGGAGAGGTACTTCCACCTTCACAGAGGCAATAGCCAAACCAAGGCCAAGACAGATGCTCGCTTTGAGCCTTTGCGGGAGCTGTACCAGCTAGCCAAGGTCCTCTTTGACTTCATTTGCCCGCAAGAGTATGGTATTTCGGATAGCGAAAAGCTTGAAATTGGACTCTTGACCTCCCTCCCCCTGTTGAAGGAGATTGTTAAGGACCTCGAAGAAATGCAGGCTTCAGATGAAGCCAAGTCCTTCATCTACTTCACCAAGGAGTCGCACATCTACACTTTGCTGAACTGCATTCTGGAGGGCGGCCTCGAGACCAAGATCAAGCGAGCCACCATCCCTGAGCTCGACTACCTCTCGCAGATCTCTTTCGAGCTGTACGAAATGCCTGCCGACCCGCCAACCGATGCAGAGGCTACTGCTGCCTTCAACTACAGCATCAAGATCACCATCAGCCCTGGCTGCCACGTCTTTGACCCGCTGGATGTTCAGCTTGATAGCAAGCATTGCATTGGCTGCGCCCCGCGCAGGAGCTTGACGGCTCATGCGGACTGGATGAAGGTTATTGAGACGTTGAGGGCGAAGTTCCACCAGTAAGTTATCCACCCACCTGAACTTGATGTATCATACCTACAGCTGCGAGGACTATTACTGACACACATTCTCCTCCAGAGTGAAACTGCCCAAGACCTTCTTGGCGGTCAACCTGTCCGATGCCTTCACTTTCCAAGAGAAGCCACAGGGCGGCGACGAGGCCATCGAGGCCGAACCCGAACCCGAGGCGACACCTGAGGCGAAGCCAGCGAAGGAGGGAGAGCCAGAAGCGGCTAAGCCTGATGACGCCGAGGCCAACGTCGCTCTTGATACCGCCGATGCTGCGACTGTTGATGACGCAGCAACGGACGAGCAGTCCGATGTCCTCGAGATTAAGATTCCCGGGGATAAGCGTGCCCATGCCGTTGAAGCTGATGACGATGGTACCGTTGAATCCGCCGCAGTATCAGACACGCTAGAAGAAGCTGGAGTATCACCGCTGCCAGAATTGGAAGCGGCACCACCAATGTCTGCTGTTGCGCCTACCACAACGGAGCAGCAGGAAAAGTCGAAGGAGGAGCCTGAGAATAAGGCTTAATTACGAGGACACCCCTAACTAGGAGGTTACTCCCATCGGCAATATCCGCAATCCATAACTCGTTCATCATAAAACGCTCCTCATTCATTGCACATTTGTACCTTTGATGTATACATACCTTGCATTGTCTTTGCCGTTTGTCCAGGTTATCTTCGCTGTCTATACCCTTACAATCCCACGGCCTTGGGGTTGTTTCGCCCTCCGCCACCTTCCTGGCTGTTATGATATGATCTTCCTGGACCGGGCCGACTGTTGCTTGGTGGTGGCTGCTGCAACGGCGTTACGCAAGCCCAACACAAAGCCGGAGATTGTAACCCAAGACGATCAGTTTTTGATGTCTGGATGGTGGACGGGCGGATGTCTGGCTCGCTGTTACTTACCTTATGTGCATCATCTATAAATGCAGGAGAGTAGCTGCAGTCACGATAACATGTGATAACCTCCAAGTCATTGTGGTTACACGAAGATTGGGTGTCGGGATAAGCAGCGTCGGAGGTTTCTCCTGTATATTGTTTGGTTTGGTTTGGTTTGGTTTGATTTGGTTTGGTGAAGGGATCAAAGACAAGACGAAGTACGTACATCACTGTAAGAAAAAGCGAAATTCCGGTATATCGTTTAGCGAACAAACGCACATACATCCCTACCAACCTACATAGTCAGACATGGACTGAATGGCATCGGTTCTACTTGTCTTACTGTGATTTTATTGCCTTTCTTACCTTTTTGCATTCTTGTTCTTGTTGCTGATATGATAAAACTACTTGTGTACTGCGTTGTTTAGATCACTGCAGCTCCTGGTTGTCGATATACAGGCACAGCGAGCGAGCGATGGCATCCTGTTACGATGATCATAATGGAGGCATTGCTGATGAGTATCTTGTACTGCATCGGTAGTACTTTTATGCACGCTCAAAGAAAATCGAAGACACACAGCTCATTGCCCCTGGTTAGAGTAAAGATCTTTATGGAAATTTGATAATGCTCATTCTTTTTCAAAAGAAGAAAAAAAAAAAAGAAGAAGAAAAAAAAAAGAATTCCCTCCTTCCTTCCTTCCTTCCTTCCTTCCTTCATTGCTCACGGCCCCTGTCTAGCTGTTCATCTGGGAAGTGACTAAATCTCAAACATCGACTCTTCAGTCCCCCCACTCTCTAAAGCCGAAACATTTTTATTTTTGCGAAGGGAAGGCACGACCTCTCTGTAGGAAAAAAAAAACCAAAAAAAAACCCGGGAAATTTGCACAATGGCCAAGGTACATAGGTAGCTGAGTCTCAACATAAGGTGTTTTGTTTCTTTTCCTGTCGTTTGTTCGTAGCTTTCTTGTTGTATTTCTTCTCCGGCCGCTCTTTTTTCCTCTGTCTCCTTCTTCCACCGGTTTTTTTTTTCCCTTCACTTTCTGCCTTCTTTCCTTTCTTTCCCTTCCCTTTCTTTACCTACGTACGCCATGCGTCCCATTTTCTTCTCCCCGTTCCATATTCCCATACCTCCCTTCATTTTTTTTTTCTTCTTTTTTTTTCTTCGCCTCCAGTTCTATCACTCTATTCCACCAACCAAACCCGCATTATATTACTTTCTGACCTGTTCGTGTGCCGAACGAATGATGCTTGTACGAGCCGATGGACGGAAACAAATGCCATCAATTGTTGAAGATACATCAGTACTATACCATAGGAGAGAGGGGGGTGGGGTTTGAACATCAGTTGTCAACCGACGGGCGAGAAATGAGGGGATAATTTTGCCAAGAGCCAAGACTGTATATACAAGATATTCCCCCTCCATCATGCCTATCTAACGCGGGGGGAACAGCCACTTCTTTGTACGTGACACGGAAATTGTTTAGCGACGATACTGTAACACTTCATTGGTCCCAAAAGTGAACTTGGGTTTCGTTATTTATAGGTCAAGGAAAGACATAGATGGACGAAGAAGAGAAGTATAAGTGCAAATGGGGTCCTACACAACGCTGACATGGGATTGATACCTGTATGCTTCCAACTTGCTGGCCGAATGTATCTGCCCTGGAAGCCCAGTTCTCCTACATCATCCAATCCAGTCTTCAAGAAGCCTATAGAGGAAAAAATGTAGACAGATTGTATTTGAGTCTCAACAGGCGTGTGAGACACTTGAATATGGATGGATACAAACGTGTTTGGACAAGATGGGAAGATAACAGTTTTCTTCAGAGTTTTTGCTTCTTCGAACCACTTCCCATAAAACCCGTTTCTCAAGGCTAGGATTGTCCCTGAATATGCCCAGGTAAAGACTAAGCGAAGGAATCAGGGCGTCCGACATAGGATTGGAATACGGTGACACAACCATGGATGGACGGAAGGTGAGTCGACTACGTTCGATACGTATGCTTCTGCGTTCGTTTGTAGTCGCGCGAGTAACATTTCATCTTTATAGGGTGGTGGTTTGAGTGGTACGACGAGCGGTTGACACGGGTGGGGCGGTTTAGAAAGGTGGTATAGAACCATGGAAATCTGACAGGTAGTACCTTGATACATGCCAAACATCACTTTCTTCGAAGTGGTGGTGGTGGTGATGGTGTGGTGCAGTTAGGCGTGAAGGTGTGGTAGTATTCCAAACTGTTGAAAAAGTAGAGATCTCTCAAATATGATTAGTCACATCAAGCGTGTGTGACAAGAGTTGATCCTACCGGCGAGTGGTTCCGACGTTGCAAAACACCTTCATTTCTCTTCGCTTCAGTTACATAGAAAGAAAAAGTGAAATGAAACACTGAGAGGGCAGAAGCGTAGGCGAAGCAGTAAAGGCACAATAACCCGGAGTTCAATTGCGTTGGGAAGCTCTATAGGTGGTTGAAAAGGCCCGAAAGGGGTTATGAGATGGATTGGAACCACGGAAATGGAAGAAATTGATACTGTTCACCGCTTGACTGAAAATATGTGATGAGCTCGAAATCTCTGTGATATATCCTTGCATATGTGTACCACCGGTCTTTCGGGAGAAATACCAACTGAATGAAGCAAACGCTTGTGCTTCTTTCGTAGGCATGATGCCTTCCGAGCGTACAAATCATAAGGTTCCTGTGCGCTCCCGTGCACTGCGAGCCATGCGGGTGGTTTCTGTGACCGTCGAGCCGGCCGATCTCGTGAAAATACGGGTAGCTGTGTTTTCACCTTCACTGAAGCATATCCTATACCGTACGACCTGTGCCTTTGAAGAAAGCAAACTGAGTACCCCACGCCAAGGGCACTAATACTGATGATGTTTGACGATCTTCCCAACAGCTTTTTGAGGGTGGATTCATGGTCTTGTGAGCTTCAAAAGCTGACAAGTAAATTTACCCCTTCTGATTAAGAAAAGCTTTGTGGCGTCGACGTTGGGTAAAACGGATGGGCGCAGTGGATCACCGCTAAGGAGGTAAAGGAAAAGGGCATGAGGAAGGGCATCAATTTCCAACGGTTCGGATGGACGGGTAGAAAGGTAAGGGAAATGAAGAGAGGGAAGAAGTGTAGAGTCTGAACCTATGAAACGACATACTGGTACAACAAGAACAGGATTGAGGTGGTTGAGAATTGTCGAGCCTGCTATAGTTCTTCGGATGTTACAACTGAGTCCCAGATGGAGGAAGCATGAGCGGCACCCCAATTAGAAGCACTTGCTTTGAGGGCATTTCCAGACGGGTCATAGGCTTACGAGCCGAAACCCCCTTGGCCTACCAAGTATGGAATACCTTGAAGAGGTTTAAATGCTGCATAAAGCAAGGACGCATAAAGTCACTAACATCAGGATATCGGGAAATGGCACCGTTCTCCCTGTTGGCGTATTCCCGAAATGGAGACTGCATGAGCAGGTCAGTTACACACACTTAGAAAGGACGAGCTGTGAGGGTGCACAATGTTATTCATAGTTGGTGAGCTGCTCTTGGAAAAGCTCACCAAGCATACAAACATACACCGGACCTTTTTAGTCTGGAAGCAAGTTGCGGTAGAAGCTCAGTGCCCTAGATTTGGCGGTGTATTGGAAGGGTGAATGGAAACTCGCCGAAATATTTCGAGACGTCCTTTGGGTGCGAGGTAGTGGACTTCCCCGCCATTACGAGATGGCGTTCATCACTGTGCAACGGGTTGGCGTGACGTCGGGTACCGGCATATGAGGCTAAGGGACATCTTAGACGACGTACCAGATCTTCGCGGCATTAGGTGGCTTCAAACCTCATAATATGATGGGTTTGGCCAGTTTCCTATCCTGATATTGATGTTCGGAAGGTTTGGATTACCGGAAACGATAAATACTGGCTGAATAGGCCCAGGGTTCTATGGTCACAGCGTCATGCTCTAGGAGCAATAACTGTTGCCTGCGAAGTGACAAGAACTGTAAGTTCCAGGCTCAATGATACCAAACGCGTAGTAGTACCTGACGTGATGGGGTTGCAGACTTCCGACTCACCAATTCGAGGGAAGATGTCCAGTTTGAGCGGCCTACATACACACTGTAGGTGTATGGTGGGTTTGCATGCAATCCGGGTGCCTTTGAACGTCGAATGCGAGATCTTGGTGGACTGGGGCCCATTTATATCACAGCTCTTACGAACAGGGGCAATGACGATGACAGGCGCCAGGTGGTAGCTAAATTTCAGATAGCCTGCAACCACGGCTCCGGCGCTCTAAATCATACGATACACATTGATTAACGTGGATGCTTGGTAGCGTTAGCCCAGCCTGCCCATTTATACAGACACTCAATCCATGAATCGTGACACTCGACGGCCAAGTGGGCACATCCACAGCCCAATATCCCTTTGCACACGGCCTTGTAGTCGTGCGGTCACTGCGAAGCCTAGGTGAGCTCGCTAGGCTAGGTAGGACGCATAAATCATACCCACTGTGTGCGAATCTAGGCGAAGCGCGTGAGACTGAAGTCAGCAGAACGGGTCGGAATCTTGCCAATTGGCTGGACTCCGGTGCGGCAGAAAGTCGAGCTTATACTGGTTGCCAGGCTGCCGGTGTCCGGTGGCCGACGATGATCGACTGAACGGC